TGTGCTGTTTGCTTTGAAAGGAAGTTGTACCTGCCTCTTACTACTGAAGCAGCAGACTCCCAAATGTTGTGCCTGTATAGTAGTCAGCTATGGGCTAGAAACCCAGTGAGAGAACAAAAAAATGAGCTTATAGAATAGATTGTCTGCTTTTAAAAAAAAAAGCCTTGCAGCTAAATTTCTCTTACTCCAAAATTTATCTTAGTAGTGATAAAAGTTGTCTGTAAATCTCAAAAAGACATTTTAGATCATGCTTTAAGTGCTGCATGAATATTACCCACTGTGCTGATGTCAGGCCCCGTGTACTCTATCTTGAATGACAGTAAGCTGGCTTGGGGAATTAGAAGAGCCTTCAAAGGTTCAAGTGCTTGGGAATTACTCCATGTGTTTAATGTAAAGTTCTCCTTATTTGGACAATAAGAGACATGCTTCACCCCACTGATTTTGAAGGAAGCCATGAGTGCTGCCCCTGTTCTTAGACATGTGGTTCAGTGCTGGTGCTGGCATTGAGCATGTCTAGGAACACGCCTAAGAAACTGAGTCCTTGAGGGAAGGAGCACCCAGGTCCAGTTACTGGAAATGGGGACTCAGCACTGTCAGGACTGGGCAAGCAGCAGAACTTGAGGGTCAGCAGTGCAGTTACTGAATGGAGAATTGGAGCACTTTCAGCTAGGAGAGAGTTTGAATCCAGCTTTGGATTTTCTTCCCGTGTTACATGTTCTTCGCACTCAGACCTGTCTTCATCACTGGGATTCAGGATATTCAGCAGCCTCCATCAAACAGTGCTTTTATTAGTCATGTATCCATGTACAGTCATATACTATGTACATTGTAGTAAATAATAGGTACAACAGTGAGTAAATACAACAAATAGTGGGAGTGATTGGGATGTAGCATTTGGGATCCACTCCGAGAGCACTGAATGGGATCCAATTCATTTGTTGCCTCAGTATTTGCTACATTAAGTCCTTGAGGGGACATTTGCTTTTAGCAAACCATACAGGTTGGTTGTTCTCCCTCATGGAGCTGAAGTGCTACAGTTTATACTCCTTGAACTTGCAGGAATGCCTCCTCTGTTTTTCCAAGTTCTTTGTGCTGTGTAAACTTGAGTCATAATTACTGCTGTTGCCAGGAGGTGTCAGTTAATTTTTTCTGATGATACATTGGCATTTTGCTCGATCTTAACTACATGTTGAGATCTTCACTTTCAGTTTGGGTTCAGGTTGTTTTATCTTTCATTTGGATCTAGGTTTAAAGCAGTAATTCTCATCTCCTTTTTGTGTTGTATAGTTGGGAGAGCTGTGCTGTGGATTTGCAGGTTGCAGCCTTTTAACTCAAGTAAAGGTGATTAAACAATGACAGTTCAAACTGAATAATCTTCTCAAATTATTTTATTTTGTCGAAAATACGTAATATCATTCAGTGGTCAAATCACTTAGGCTTGCTTCAGTCTCTCTAATTACTTTGTCTATTATCTACTAGGACTTTTTTGAAGGCATAAAGTTGCTTACAGTGGAAAAATAAGTTGTGATACCTGCCAGACCTTCATCATACACATCATGCTGGCATTTCCTTTCAAAGGCTTCCTTAGAGCCACTTTCTAATGTTATTTTCAAAATAAAAATTACTGTGTGACAGGTGAAGGTGGTGACTTCTTTCCCATCCTGTGTGTGTGGCTTGTAGAATAAATACCTTGGTTGGCTTTTTTGAAGAGCTTTATTGAGTGACAAGCTGGATATTATATGGGATTCCTGTCTTGGTTATTTTTAATCTTATTTTTTTTTCAAAAAGGAGTTAGATATTGCAGCATGTTTTAGGAACAAGCTGGAGAAACACTTCCTGGGAACAGGTGGATTTCTGATAAGTACTTAATAATTCTGAAATTTTACTGATCTGAAAACTTGAGACATACTGAAGCAGCATATGTGTAACAGGTGGTCTAAGCCATGTATATGCTGTGCATAAATTAGTGGTTTAAAACTGAGCCTGTACTGATTAATAAGGAGTCATTTTGTTACTGCTGTCTTCTGAAATCAGTCTTGTAATAGTTGAAAGTTAGTACTATGGAGAGGGATATGAAGAGTGTAAATTACTTTCTTGTGGAAAGGCTGATGTTATACAGGTTTCTTTTTCTTGAAACTCATCACACTTTCCTCTTAGCTGACCCAGTTACCTGGAGTAATTTTCACTTTGCAATACTATTTATCAGGTAAATGAGAAAAAACACTCCTTAGTGGTGATAAAAATCATTCCAGTATACTAAAATATCTCTTTTTTATCTTTCATGTGTTCTGTAAAGACTTTTCATCATAACAATTTAGGTGATTGTCCAATAGTTGTGTTCATTTGTAGATGTTTAGTACTGATGTAATATTGCATAAATGGCACTTTCTGTTGGGAATTGGCCTCTGGCACTGAGGAGGATCTTTGTATGGTGCTGCTCTAGGTGAGGGTGTGACTTGTATTGATAAAATTTTAGAAGAGAAACGAGGGTAAGTTTGGTAAAGCAGAGAACAGACTGTTATGTTGTCTTATGGGGTAATTTAAAAATAAGACTGGACAATAGATAGAAAATAAACATAAGGAGTACAGTGTTATTCTGCAGATAACTGTTTTCTGTTTTGCACTGTTTGTTGCACTAGGACTCAGCTTCAGAATCACCAAAACTTCAGAATAGATCTGGCTTTTAACTTGTAGTTGGATTAGGTACAGATAAAACTCCTGTACTGTTTTGCTGTAACTAGAGCTTAATTACCTGGGCTTTTGTAAATTTAATGCTCAAACTGGCTTTTTAATATCAGTGGCATAAGTGATTAATTAGCAAATATGTTTTAAAAGAAGCTACAACTCAGAGTTTACAAAGTCAGATAGTTTGATTGGCTCCTTGTGCCGTACAGTATATGACCAAAAGGCAAATTTATGGGAGTGGATTATAAACCAAGGCTTAGCTTATGAAGGGACAAATGTAGTTCAAAAAAAGCAATCTTTGTGTCTCACGTGCTCTGGGCTCTGTCTTTATGCAGCCTCATTTCAGTAGAAACCAGCTAAAGAAGAAAAAAGGTTGAGTTTTATGTTTTTCTGTCTGTGTGGTGCAAGCACATGCAGCAACTGGGAATGAAGAAAATCTCCATTTTGAGGCCATCTGTGTCGGTTCTTTTGTCTGAACCTGACAAGAGGTCATGGCAGATGGTGGGGTCACAAAGTCTGGCTTCTCAGGCTTGACAAAATGTGTTCATAAAGCTGGAAGAATCCCAACTGTTCTTACTGGCTGAAGAGCACTGTGGCAAAGGACTGTAATAGTTTATGGACAATACCTTCTGGATCATTAAGCTTGACAGCAAATAACTTGTCAAAGATGAACCTAGTTTGCTTATCTGCAAATAAGTTAAAACTGCTCAGCAATTATGTTCTTAACTGCATTTTATTTGAGTAAATTACTTGTAAAGCCTGTTAAAGAGAGAGAGGGAGGCCAGACTGCAACGTGAATTTTGGCCAGAGCCCCAGATGATGGATTTGGAGAGTTCATCTGCAGGGGTCAGAAATGTCGAAAAAGAACAGGCACCAAAGATCATAATTTTCAGATGCATTGCAAGAATTCAGTATTTGCTCCTTGCCATGACCCCTGTAGCTTTATGGCTTCAGGTTTCAGGATTATTACCAGATCCAGTAGCTCCTTTTCCCAGGGTGGGAATAGATACCTCTTGGTAGTATCTTCTCTAAAGCCAGAGAAAAATTTGTATTATTTTCTTGGATGTTTTGTGGTGAAACTAAAATGTACAAGTTTTCACAGGAGAATGTCTTAGTTAGATTTGTGTGGTGTTCATATGCTGGAGCAACTGCTCAGTTATGGCTGCAATGAAGGGAGGCACCAAGGAAGATAAGTACAACTCAGGCAACAGGAAGTGGAGGACACCTCTAAGTTGAATAAAATGGTTTTCCACTAACAGTTTAATTGATATGATGTCTGAATAAATCAAGAAATGTATAGAAACAGCCTAGAATTTAAAATTCTCCTGGGTTATCCAAAACTACTAAAGCAGTGATGGGATGTGATGGTGGAGTTCCTCATTAGTTGCACACACTGCTGAAAGAACCCCAGGCACTTTCCTGAAGGGAGGTGAAGACACTGGCCATTCTCAAACTTGTCACAGGTTAAAATACAGAGGAAATGGCATGAATTGCATCCCACTTGTGTAGCTAGTGAGTTCTGCTGTAAATTGTCATGACTTTTCTTTGATAAGTAGTTTAGGTATCTTCCTAATTTTACTCAATTGATTCCACTTTTCAAAGTGTGAACAGTTCTCTCTTTTATTCATCCAAACGCAGTTTGAATGTCTTTTGTAGTCCATTTTTAAACTGCAAGTAGTACTTATAAAGTACTTTTCAAGGTACCTAAACGCTTTGTCAAGTTACTTCGATCTTTAAAATGGTTTCTGCTGACAGCATTGATTTGTAACTTTTCTTCTGTTTTCTGTAAGGCTTTTGGAAGCTTTCATTTAAAAAATAAGTCACTTTAAACTATTTCTTGGTGTATCAAAATTTTTATCTTTTTCTGGAATGCTAATATTATAACTCTAACTACACAGGTTTAATAAAAAAAAATTAAAATATTTAAAAGATGAGTTAGAGATTAATAGTTATTTTTCTTGCATGTTTCCTAAAAATTCTGAATGTTTTCTGCATATATACATTTCATTAAAAGCCTTCTCTATTCTGGCTAAAGAGACAGTGAAGTAATTCACCTCCATTTTTAAAACCAATCTGCATTAAATGTAAAACTTTCATGGGTTTAATTACAAAACTTTAGTAATGATATAGCATGGTTTGCTAGCACATTAATGTAGTCAGGCCTTTATGTAAGTTGGGCCTTTATATATAGGATTTAATCTCTGCCTGTTCAAGCAATGAACATTTTTAGTATGTCTGTAGAACCTGACTATAGTGGTGATTATTTTATCAGAAGCTTGGATTTCAACTAAGATATGTCATTAACTGTCTTACAGGATGTGCATTTTAAAGATTATGTGAAGATGAAAAGGGATATCTTATGGCTTTATGAAATATAAAGCAATACTGTCTGACATGACGGCAAAAAATGTAAGTATAACTCTTCAATGTATATTACTTTTCATATTGGCATTCTGCCAGTCACTGCTGACTTTCAGAATTGTGTGGACAAATATAAAAAATCAATGACAAAGACCTTCAAATTCATGTATCTTATCTGATTTTTGTGTACCAAAAATCTGTACCCCATCATCTTCTGCAGTATTTTGATAAATTTAAACTGGTTGGAAGCTCTTTAAGCATGTGGAGTTTACTCAGCTGTTGGTCAGACTGATAACTGAGGCAATGTTTTATGCTGTTTTCATATTGATCCATTCAGGTCCCTTCCACCTTGAGATATTCTATGAGTCAGTGATTTCTCTAACATTTCTTCAAACTTATGTGAAAGCTGCACATTTTGTTGAATCTTCTCACCTTTGCATGTCTGTAAAATCCTTCTACTGGGTCTGAGTCTCAGATCTCAGTCTCAGATCTCAAGAAAAAATAGAAAGACTACATATTATTTGGCTGCTGTTGGTACACTCTTGGTTTCTAGAAGACTGGAGGCCGTCTTGTTCCTTTGCTTGCTCATGACCCAGCCTGTAGTGGTGTCTCAAGGCTCTATATTTGACTCCTCTATCCTGAGTTCTGAGGAAGCTTATGAAATGTCTTAACATCCTGACCTTAATTTTCTGCCTAATTAGCTGTGCTTCCTGAGGTACACAGCTTGTACAGAGAACAGTTCTGATTAATCCTGGTGATCAGTGAATTGAGTACGACTTTGGGCCCTGGGCAATTTGCCTGTTGACATCCTGCATTCTAGTTAAATCTGAGTGGGTTTAGGAACCAACACCACCAAAGTGCCCACAATGAAAGTGCAGGGAGCCTAGGAATGTGCTCTGTTCAGTAACTGCAAAAGCTTTTGTGCATATTGGGTTAGATTGGTGCCAGTGATAGTTTGGTTAAATTAATTCTCAAATGTTGGAAATTTCTGTTGGCTTTATTAATAGCTTTTTTGGTGTGTACTTCCAGGCTTTGAGGTATCTTATATCTCACCTTCTGATTCAAGCTTACCAAGACATAAAGTGTATATGTGTATATTCAAAGCCCTTTTCTTATTATTTCATAGGTCATGTTCATCTCTAGTACAAATAAGTAATTCTACTGATGTATGTGGGACAGCTGCACAAATCCAGGTCATTTGTGGCTTTGACCTTTTGTTTGATGCAGTCAAAGGATAAATACCAATCCCAATAAAATCCATGGAGAGCTGTGTAATAGTCATAGAGTGGCACGGGCTGGAAGGGATTTCAGGAGGCCATTTACTCTGGTGTTTTGTGTAAAGCTCTTTGACACTGGAGCCCAGTTGCTCAGTGCTTTGTTCAGGGCTCCATCAGGGCTTTGGGTTTTGAAAATCTCAGAGGACAGACATGACATTCATTCTGGGTAACCTACTCTTGTTCTGAATATAGAAATATAATTCTGTTGCTTACTTCAGTACAATGCTATGGTTACTTTAGAGAAGAAATATTTTATTGGTATGCACGCTTTGAAATTTTGAATGTCAAAAATCATGCCAACCTAGTTAAATACCTAATATTTATGGGTTTATGTTTAAAAAAAGTCAGCTACTGTGGTGCAGATGAACGTAGGACTCAGTTTTCATGTTTACCTGTGGTGGTCATATGCTTTGTGTCATTGGTAGCACTTCTTAGGGTTTTCCCAGCCTTGGTTACTCAGAATTGCTCTGGTTACTCAGAATAGTGTCAGCCCTGGTGTTTCCTGGTGCTGTTAGAAGGCCATAATGCTTCTGAATTTGCAGAGTTGCAGGGTTTAGATTCTGTATATGCCTGCGGGTTTCTGCAGCTGGAAACCTGTTTCAAATGTAAGGTTAGTATTTGTTACAGTGTCAGAAATGGTTTAGTGATCTGCGGAGTGAGTTGAGGGAGTGAGCTTCCTTGTGAGAGTACTTCCATCATTTTCCTTTATGTTGAAGTATCAAAGAAAGGAAATTTTAAAGTACTGGAATTTGAGCATCTTCCAGGAAACTCTTGCAGGACACGTATCTTCTGTCAAATGTGCACAGCAGGAAGCTGCCACCTCTACTTTCTGCAATCAGTGCTCCTCAGCTGGGCATGTCTGTGCTCCTGCTGCATCACAGCCCCGTGCAGTGAGCTGTGCCTGGAATGGCTTTCCACCTTGCAAGAAGCTGTGGTGGACAACCTCCTGTCCAAGGCAGCTTGTGCTTCAAGCACGTGCCAGAACGTTCCTGTAGATGGAATGTGTGTGCAAGATGAAAAACCTTCCCCGTCACCGTTTTTCCTTCCTTCTGAGTGTGTGGTTATCCAGGCTGGGCTCACTGCTCATTTTCTTTAAACAGAGGACCCTTTCTGGTATCTGTTTGTGGAATATTGTTTGTGGGTAATTTGACCTTCCTTAGAAAACTAATCCGACCAAAGTACCTATGAATAATAAAATGTTGCAGGTTCTCTTGGAAAAGAAGATGTTTATGTGCTTGCCATATACATTGTACCCAGATCACCCTGTCCAACTGGGTTATTTCATTCTTTACTTATATGAGAAAATGTGTTTTTTTCTTGTCTATTTTGTATCTCATTTCCCATCAGTCCTTCAGGTAAAATGACACTAAAACAGTATTAACAAAAAATGGAGAAAAAAAAGAGCAAATACTCATGGTAAATTTTGTTAAATTAAAAATGTTTTTAGTTTCATTTATTCAAACAAATGAGTGATACAACTTCAGCAAGTTTTTTGAATAAGACTGTTGGTTTTGATTGTGAAGTTAGTCAGTGCTTCTCAGAAGGTGGCTGTCTTGCCATAGATAAGGTCATTTAAATGCTATGATATTCTCCTTTCACATGTCAGCATGGAAGGAAGTTTAACTGCTGAGGGTGGTCACAGAGACTTGCCCAGCCAAGCAGTCAAGAGGAGCTACAGGAGCTGCTCGTGGCACTTGGCGCCATCCAAGACTCTGGCTGTGACTCTTTCTTTCCCCTCACCCTGTTTGGAAACTTAGTCACCTAACAGGAAAGGCAAACAAACCTCCAAGATATTTAGTAGTGTGCAAAGGCCTGCCAAGTCCTTTCTTCATCTTCCATCGGGGCTGCATTCCTTGTGCTGCAGAAGCAGGAGTCCAGCTCCTGCCATGCCCAGCAATCCAGACACTCTGGGCCAGCGTTATAAAGCAGAAATATCACAGGAGTAGTACAGAAAGTAACAAATGATACCCATTAAGCATTGGATTGCATACTGGTTTCAGCTTAGGGGTTGTTACAGTATGAGATACCCAAAAGCAGTGTGTGATCTGTGTCAGATAACAACATGGCCTGGGACCTCTTGAACACTGAGATGGAATCGTATGAAGGCCTTGCTGTGCAGCAGTATTGTCATGTTGCATCACACATTGCTTCTTCTGAGGACTTAGGATCATTCTTCTGCAGAGAAACAAATTCCTTTAGATCTGCCACATTTCTCACTTCAGTTCTCATGAAATTCAAGTTTGTTTTCAAGGTCTTCTAAACTGAGATACAAGGATTATAAAATTGAGAAAAGTGCTGCTCTTTATAAATGTGCTACTAGGATCATTGTAATGAAAAGAACGTATTTCTGTGCAAACTGAAGTTCTGTAATTTTGTGTCATTTCGATCACTAAAGTACAACATACACACAAAATCTTTCAGATAATTAAATGTAGAAGTTAGAATTTTCATTCTGACACTGTATATGTACGTCATCTTCAGTGTTTGATTAAAAGACTGATGTGAATTAATAGGGAAATGTACAATTGTAGATCTAGAGCCGAATGTTCAATTGTGAACAAATTTCAGTGCTGTCTTTGAAGATGTTCCATGTAATCCCTTCTCTTGGAATGAGTTGAGGCCCATAATCTAACATGATATTTATCCCCGTGGACCCCTATTCTTTCCCTGAATTTAAAATTTCTCCCATTTGTGTTGTTGTGGCTGCTGCAGAGGCAGGCAGGGGTCCTGGGAGAAGCTGGCACTGTTGTTGGTGTGAAGGCAGCAGAGGTGTGAGCCAGCAGTGCAGCCCCTTCCCCTTGGCTGGGCCTGGCAGTGCCTCACCCTGTGCAGTTCCCAGCCGTGCCAGCCTCTGGTTAAACATCTCCCCAAGACACATCCTCAGTGTGAGGAGCCACAGTGGCCTCTTACCTCACGAGTGTTCCTTGTGCCCATGCACAAGAGATCCTGGAGCGCTGCTCTTTTCCTGGATCTGCTTCCAAACCGTGCTAAGGAGACGTTGTGGTTTGTTTTATGTCTTCCTGCCTTTGCCCTGCTCCAAGCCGGGCGTTCCTGCTCGGGCCCTCCCCAGCCCTGCTGCATCGCTGCTGCACCGGTGCCACCTGCTGGGAGACAGCCCGGGAGTGGCAGGGAAGATGGGACAGCCCCTTTGGACAGAGCCTCTGGGGACACCACAGCAGCACAAGCGCCTGCCAGTGTAGGAGGATCCGACTGGGCGTGCCAGGAAGGGCAGGAAAGAGCCAGTCCCATGTGACAATGCCTGAGATAAACTGAGGGCTGTGCTGAGCATGGGTCACATGTAGTACACAGTCAGAATATTCAGGGTGGTTTTTAGGTAACAACTTTGTTAAAAGTAGACTTTCCGAATGTCCTGGATACCTTGCCTTGAGTCTCATGCACTTGTTAGACTCTGCTGTCCATAGGATTACGATGTTTCATAATGCAGAAAGTTGCTTTCATAATATTGTTAGTTGCATATTAGAAAACACAGAAAGGTTTATCATATTTTAAGACTTCATAAATGTTTTGTTCAGGTTGGTGTGACTTCCACAAATGGAGACTTGAAAGGATTTATAGATCAGAACCAGAGTCCAACAAAAGGTAAGAGAATTCTATTCGATACATACATTAAGACTTATTTCACTGCAATATATGATTGATTCACATTTGGGATACTCAGAATTTAAATGTTCAAAATATATTTCATACATCCCCACCAGCAGTTGTTTAATACTGACATGTAAGTGTCAGTACAAAGATGGGAAGGTCTTCAGGATTTCAGAGGAGAAAAGAAGGTGTAATAAAAATAATAAGAGGATAACATGAGCACTTTTTTTCATTCCTCGATGGTGAATAATATGCTAAATTTCCTGATTTCTAGCCCACCCTTAAAATTCCCTGATTCTGTGACAGAAATGACAGAGAAGGCTAAAGCATGATGTCATACTTCTTTCTAAATGTTCTGCACGATTTACAATAATGATTTTGTTTTGTCCTGTCCTGTTTTATCTTAGCACTTCTAGATTAATCACTTTTGACTCAAAAACAATTTAGGATCAGTCATAACAGCTATGGTATTCCAGTAAAACAAGCCCCTTATTTATTTTAGAAGACTCAAGGATTTGCAGTTCAGGAAACATTTCAATCAACCTTTCTAAGTAAATACTGGTTTGCTATTATCCACTTCAATAATCCCATGCATGTAGTAGCAGGAAGGTTGATTTTTGGCTGATGCCATCAAACCTAAGAGGCTGAAAAATTGAGACAGCTAAACAGAAAATGGCTGGAGCTACAGTATCTTCCTAGTTTTCTAAACTTTTCAGAACATGACAAACTGGTGGAGGCCTTTGAGAATTATTTATTGCACATTGTGCTTCATTGTTTTGTGATTATTGTGTTGTGATACTAGGGAAATAGATTAAGTGCAACATTTTCAAATAATTTCTGAAACAAGCAATTGATTTGTCCAGAAAATAACTGAATAACTTTATAAAGCATGGGTCATTACTGTTAGGAATATCCCAGTGACCCATATCCCACTTTTTATCAGATTTTACTTCTGGGATGATGGATGCATTATTACCTTAATTTTGGAATTTTTTTTAAATGTTATGATCTAATGATTTTTTTTAACCGTGAGGTATAGTTAGAAATTGTTGCCGTCTCTATTGAAATAAAGCATCTTGTTCACAATGGATTACTCTTCTTAGAACATCAAATATTCCATAAAAGCTGGGGAAATTTGTGCAGATACAGCCAGTATCTAAGTTGTCTCTTACTTTCAGTTTAAAATATCCTTTACTTCTTTTGGCATGTCCACTGTTAAACTCTCGACATTATGGAGGGAGGAAAAACTCCAAACAGGCATTCAGATCCACTGTCTCTTAACAGGGCTTTGTGAGTTTCCTTGTAAAGGCAGTCTGGTTTCTTTGGGTTTTTCTTTGGTTTTGGGTTTTTGTTCGTGGTGGGTTTTTGCTTGTTTGTTTGGGGGTTTTTTTGGTTGTTTTTTAAAAATATACATTATTTAAATTAAATCATTTGCTATAATAAAAATAAAGACAATTTATTGCTACATACCTGGGCCTACTTATAATGTGCCTTCATAATACCCTTAGACTGAGGCGTGATGGATTTATGGTATGTTCAGAAACAAAGGAGAGAGGCCATTTGCTCTAAGAAAGACCTTCTTGAAAGCATCAGATTTCAAGGTCCAGAAATTTTTGCTTAAAAAAAAGTTGCATTTTTCTTTTCTTTCCAAAAAGATCATTGTGGTGTGTGTTTGTTATTTGCCCTGCCAAGCAGAGGGGGCCTGGCAGGGCACAGCCGTGTCCGGGGGAAGGAGAGGCTGCGTGGGGCTGGGCACATCTGCTGCTGCTGGGGCCATAGGTACAGGATTCTTACCTTAACATGGGTGATGTACACTCACACAAAGGTTTTCAGGAATCTTGCTGCCCTTAGTTAATACTTCTTTGTCACTGTAGTCCCAGTTCCTATGAGTTTACATGTTGTTCCTTGTTTACTGCTGTGGAGGGTAAAGGGAGTCCAGCCACAGAGCACCAATCTTGCAACAGGCTCCATGAATCACATCACAGTTATAGAGAGCTTGCTTTGCATGGGAATCCTAAGATAACTTCACAATGAACTTCGTTTCAATGCATCTTTCTATTACACAGTAATACTTTTAATAAGTCCTGACAGGACTGGTGTTTTAAAAACTTACTGCACAGGGCTGCTGTAAGAGAAGTACTTCATTGTATGCTTGAAGAGATCTGCTAGAATGACCAAGACATCAGAAGCAGTAATCCATAGGCCTGTGCCTGGTACTTTCAGATTCAAACAGCTGTTAACTCCTGTAGATCTGTCTCAAATTGAACAGTAAAAAACTGAAATTGTACTGCTCAGTGTAAGCCTGAAGTACATTGAAAAACTGTCTGCCCCATTTTATTTTTTCCTTAGAAACAGATCTCTGATTTCATCTCTATGGAATTTTTAAATTTAGGTTTGTAGCCCAGTAATTTTGTGCAATACACAAAGAAATGTACCAAGAAAATACTTGTACCAATAATGCAATAATAATTCAATTTTTTATATGCTTTTACCATACTGATCTTGGAGATCAGTAAATTTACTGATCTGTCTTAGTGTAATAGAGGACCCTGAGGACACATCACATATGTTATTCCATAATATCCTAATGGGCTGCTGATATCTCACAGCTCTGAGCTGGGGTTTTTGCCATCATTGTCAAGCTGTAGGCTGTATTATTAAAAATGGCTGTTCATGGAGACATGTTTAAAAAGTGAACATTTTTTTAGAGCTCTGAATATCAAATCCAAATTACCACCACTTCGCTGGTGTTTTGTTTGAAAATTCAATGGGTTTTTTTGTTGATGTAAGCTTTGTGTGTAGCCCCAGCTGGTTGGGCTATGCTCCCCATCAGCCATGGTCTCCTTCAAACTGGCTGTGACAGATTCTATAGATTCTCCAGTTGACATTGTTTCTGATTATCTTTGTAACTGAGCTGCAGACCTAACAGATTTAGTTATACAGGAAAAAAAAATCACTAAAATCTCTTTAGCTTCGTATTTGTATAGGAGTGCATGTTGTTTATGTGAAATTAGGCTTTTTAGGGTGGCACATAATGATTTAAACTGAGTTTGGTGAGCTGCTTTATGTGTGCATGTGAACATACATGTACATAAACATGAATAACTTTATCTGTGACTGCTTGAAGCCAAAGATCATTTAAATTGATTTTTTTCTTTTTGTGCGCCAGTAAAATTATTGCACAAATGCCAGGAAGAATAATAGTTATGTAGCAATGATGGTTTTTTAAAATATGAAATTGTAGCAACACTGGTTTCTCTCCCCAAGAAGCAACAATAGTGGTGACTGAAGAATGGAAAAATAATTTATGTAGAAGCAAAGCACTTTTGTTCTGAGAGAAACATACATATATATCCACAGTCAGATTCTTATTCTGAATTTGCTTCAGTGCTGGGGAGGCTCAGTTTGGGATGGCTCTCTGTGTATTGCAGTTATAGCCTCCCGATGAGAGTTTTAAGTGGGTTTCTTTCCCATGTGCTTGGTTTTCCATAGGTAAATAGGAATAATGACACTGACCTCCTTTGTGCCTTGAAAGTACTGCTGAGAAACATTATATAAGAATTGAGTATTGTTATACAAATCATTCCAGTTTGATCCATCTGTGCTGACCTTTTCCATCCATGCAGTGAGATTACCGTGACTCAAGGCTGATGGGTCTCATTGTGTTCAGCTTATCACTGTACTCACTGCTCTTGTGCCCCAGGACATAAATCAGTGTAATCTTTTTTGTCCCCAAATGATGGGTGTTATTAAGACTTGGCATTTATTTAGAATTTGGCCATGTTTAAAGCCTTTGCAGTTGCTTTGTGATAGTATATATAGTTAGTTTGATGATATTTCTGCTTTCAGTTGAATGCCAAAATCTGTTGAATGTTTTTTTCACATCTACTTCCTTCTAAATATAATAATATAATGATATAATAATAATATTTGAAGCAATTGAGGTTACATGAGTAGCTAGACCATGATGCTATTTGGAGGAAAAAAAGAAAATGGTAGGGAGGAATATTTTATTTGTAATTGGTAAAACTTTCTGTTTACTATTTTTTCAACTGCTGACAAACACAAAAAGTAACCTCTTACTGTGAAGAATTTGGTTGTTCTTTCTGGCCACTGTGGATAAGAAATACCTCACTTGCAAAAACAAATTGGTTCTTTTTCATCCTATCTGTATTTTAAAATCTACACATCCACATATTTATATTTGCCAATGAAGAAAATTAAAAGTAAGAATAAGGGCAGGGAAACATTTCTTTGAAAACTTGATCAACTCTTAAGATTGTTTTGACAGTACTGCTGCCAAATGAGGGATTTGTGTAGGGATTAGAAGATGAAAATCTTTTTTATTGACAGTAACTCTGTCCAAAAAGGCACTTAAACACACACCATATGTAAGCAAATGTCTTTTTAAAATCAAGATCAGGTCATTTGAATGACCCTTGTATTTACTGAAGTTACCCCAGTGGTGCCAGTGTTCCATTATCCAGGGAGCCTTGGATAAATGAAGGCACAGTGCAGCAGTAGCTGCTAATTAGTGGTTTATTAGTGGTTTTTCCCAGGCTGCTCAGTGAATCTGGTGGGTTTGTGTGGCTTTGGCCATGGGTCTGCATGTGTGTGTGAGGGAAGTACATCCATGCAAGTGTTCTCAGCAGTCACAGGTGCAGCTGGATGCCCTGGATGCCATGGATCCCGTGGATGCCAGGCTGCATGGCACGTGCTGGGAACAGGCTGTGCCCAGTGCTGGATGGGGTGGGTGGCCCTGGGCATTGTCCAGTGCTGTGAGCCCCACATGGCCACTCTGGATGGACACACACCACAGCCCCGTGCCTCTCGCAGCCTGGGAGGTGCAGCTGGAGGCAGCTCTGTGGTGTAGCCCTGTGGTAAAAGAGCTGGGAGCCAAAACCGACACTGCACAATTTTACTGCACTTGGCCATGTGGCCTTACGCTGTCAGCACCAGAGACAGTAATTTATTTATTTTCCCTGGTAAGAAAAGGGACAAGGAGAAATAGTGTGAGAGCTGATCATGGAGGTAGTGGGGTCAAAAGTTTCAGGTGCAGCAGAAAAGAGGAAAATTCCTACAGCAGAACTGGGAAGTGACACGTCATTGATGGCAACAGCCTGGAATGAGGGGAGAGACTAGGTTTTGATGGAATATGCTGGCACAGCTTGGGAAATCCTGGGCAAAATCCTCTGGCAAAAGTAAAACTGGCAAGTGAGAGAACTCTTTTGAGCTCAGCATGGGAACACAGTGTATGTAAATAATGAATTACTGTCTTGGGCTCTCTGGCACTCAAGATGTTTCATCTTCATCTCACAAAAGATGTTTCATAACAGAGCAAAGATTTACTGGAGGGAGTGGGTTTGCAGCTGTGGGAGGTTTATATTTGTTTTTCTAGGTGAGTTACATGACTGAATAATTTATTCATTTTATTGAGTAGAGATGCAAGCTGCTTCTGAAGATGTTTTCAGATACAGATTTGCCTTTTGGAAAATTAATATTAAGTAGTAGTATTACTCCAGATGCCAAAATAATCTACACAGAACATTAGAACATCCTAGTTTCAATTTGTTTGTCTTTCTCATATATTTGTTGAATATTTCTTATGAAGGTGAGACTTCACATAAATCTACATCTTTTCTACTTCTGTGCTGTAACTACAGAAGATAAGATCCTTTTTCCTCTCAGTTGTGTTGCTTCTGCTTCCTGTTGCAGAGAGGTTACTTTGTTGAATTTATCATTTTTCAGTAACCTCATGGAAAACAGGTATACTAAAATAAAATGTAAAAAAAGAGACCATGATTCAGGACCAAGTGAGAAAAGAAAATTGGGCAGTGGAGGTGAACAGGTGATGTGAGAAAAGACGGGGGAACAGGGATGTGTAACAGCACTGAGTCAGCTTGGGCTATGTGGGCTAAGCTGAGTGTTGGCTGGCTCCTGTGGGAGGAGGGCTGGTGCCTGTGCTGCTCTGAAGGGACCTGTCACCTCAGATGCCTTCAGCTGCTGTCTGCAGGGCCAGAGAACATTAGTAGCTCTCCAGGAACCTATCCTTGTCCTCATGACCCCAGCTAGACCCAGGCTGACTCTGGATTACCAAGCAGTGGCAGCTCTTCCTTACATTTGGCTGTGCCTCAGAGCCCATCCCTCCCCACGCTGGATCAGGCTGTGTGTAGGAACAGGGGCTGGTGTTTGACTGATCGGTTCCCAGCTCTCCTGATTTGAAGCTGTCACAGAGAAAGGAGCTGCTGCCACCACTGTGGCAGTTGGATAAGCCAGTGTGCTCAGATCTTTGAGAGGCTTGTGCACAACAGTTTGAACACCCAAGTAGCAATGGTGCTGCAGCAGTTTTGATTTAAACATTAAATCCAAATAATCGAGATACAAGATGCAGTTTGGGATAGAGGAGCAGCAGCAGTATTTTGGGGCTGTCAGCACAGAGCTGCTCTTCTCTGTGGAAGGCAGGATGATTTAGATCCATAAGCAGTTTGGGATCACAGACATGATAAACATCTTGGGATGAGAACACCGTGCACTGGAGATGGCATGGGAGGCTTTAGTGTGACATCCAGCTGCCTGCTCTGTGACTTTAGGTGAGTTGTAAAGGCATCAAGTGATGCTTACTTACTCCATCTGTACAGGGCAGGCTGTGCTTGGCTTACATCAGCAATGACTGTGGAACGCTCTGGGACAGTCAGATGAGGAATGGTTAAGGCTTTGAAGGTTTAGGGATGCATATTTTGTACACGTGATTATGATTGTAAGTAGGATTTGTATGTTGGCTTCTTTTATAAGTATTCTCATTAATTTTCATTTCTAATGCTGAGGAATGTCAGGCTGTGTGCTCTTTGTCTTAAGAATAAATTGTTTCTGGAAATAAAATACATTTAAAAAATAATAAAAGTAAAATAGTGAAGGTGTAATTTTGTGAGGTGTCCTTGTGACATCTGCTGAGAGGTCTGGAGGTTACCTGAGGGCTTGTTCACAGGGAATGAAACAAAGCCAACCTGATTCCAAAGCGTTGGAGTAGTGTGAGAATTTGCCAAAGAGTTTTTCACAGGTTACTAAGGAAGTAATTTGAAAGCCTCCTTTTACCATTCTTTTTAGGTAATATTTCAGTAATCACATTGCCGGTTTCCAGCACCAACTCTCCGACTAAGATTTTGCCAAAAACCTTGGGACCAATCAATGTGAATGTTGGACCCCAAATGGTAAGTTTTGCAACCCCAGAAATGCTGGCTTGTGTAACTGGCTGTGACTTCCTGGTGGTGTGAGACAGGAACACACGAGGAACTTGCTGCCTCCTGCCTCAGGCACAGAGTGCCCCACCTGGATGGGAGGTGCTGACCTGGGGGCACAGCAGGCCTGGCATGCCCCAGCTGCCACTCCCAGCAATGCTCCTGTGTGTGCCCTTAGGGGGTACCTATCTCCTGGGCTTTCAGTTTTACTAGCTGACATTTTAACTATTACTCAAAAGTGTATTAAGAAAATCCCTTTATTATTTGAGGGGATACTCTTTGAATGTTTTGAGTCATGTTCTCACCAGTAAATCTCCAGAATTCCAGAGAATGTCTTTGATGTGTTGGTAGAAATTCTAAACTTGTTGAAACTACTCTTCTTAAAGCTCTCTTTTCCTGTCCATGATAATTGTATACGTATATTGATGTTCCAGGGATTTTGGATCTAGTTTTGAGAAAAAAATTAGATTTTCTGGTGGCCAGAGAGCTAAATAGGCAATACTGTGAACAGTTTCTAGTAACCTGATGCCTCCTTGCCAAGCACTTAGCCGGAGTACAGAGCCATTTGATGTGTTTCATAAAAATGGTGTTGGGCCTTTGTCACCTGAGCAGTGTTCACTGGGGTTTGTCCCAGCTGGGCAGAGGGGCACACACATCACAGGCAGCCCCGTGGCACTCCTGCTCGCAGAGCTCTGCCCCCAGCACTGGCCGGGGCTGCCTGCCAGGAACAGCTGAGTACGTCAGCGCTGCTGTCTCACAGGCCTGTGCCCTGTGGCACTGCACTGGAACAGTTCTGCCACTGAGGATGTGTCCTGGCAGTGCAATAAATAGCCCACAACAGGGAGCACACTCACTTAATGCACTTCCTACTCTTATGACTGACTTCTCAAGCCCTGCTTTTGGTTTCAGTGAGCCCTGCTTGCAGTTCAGGTTCTATGGCAGGTAGAAGTTGCAAAAGCTACTGTGTGATGTGAAACACACCATTTTTATTCTAATTTTTTTTTTATCCTTTTATTCTGCTGCGTTGCAAGAATAGATCTATATTCAGAAAACATTTTCTTAATAAATAGCCATTAACGCAGGCTTTCCAAGACACCCAGGATGTGTGTGTGTTGTGCCAGGCTGTTTAAAAGCGAGTGCTCCCAAGCTCTCAGTAGTGTCAATGTTAGCGCTCCCTCAGCATCTGCCTGTGTCAGCAACACCCTGCTTGATTAATTTATTTATTTAGGCCTTATTTCCCCACCGTGGGTTCCAGGCCCTGGGGCCGCCCCGGGTCCTTCGAGCAGCGCAGGGCCGCGGCCGGGGCCGTGCCCCGGTGGCTCCGCGGTGCAGGAGCGGCCGGGTGCCGCTAGAGGGCGGCGCGGGCCGGGCCGGGCTGTCGCTGCCCCGGGGCCACGGGCACCTGCCGGCCACAGCCGCGCTCCAAATCACCGGTGAGCCCTTGGCACCTGCCGGCCACAGCCGCGCTCCAAATCACCGGTGAGCCCTTGGCACCTGCCGGCCACAGCCGCGCTCCTGTCACCGAGCTCCAGAACACCCATCAGCCCTTGGCACCTCTGCCCCAGGCCGGAGCAGCAGCCGGGTGACAGAAGTGACACCTTTCCTGTGCCTGCCTGCAGTGGGTAAAGCCAGGCGACTTTGGTTCTCCAGCACCAACCAGGAAATAAATACATAACCTGTACCTGTGTTTTGCTTTCTATAAAATTCTCTTTTCCCTTGGTTCTGTCAAGCTGTACATTTGGAAACAATAAATGAGATAAATTTATATCTTTAAGACAAAAAAGACATGTACGTAGTCACAACGTGGTACCAGGGCAGATGTGAAGTAATGCTCAGTGAGCTAAGGAAATGGGGAATTCTTCACATACCATTTTTCTACTTCTCTAAACAATAGTGATGGATACCATATAAATGCTGTATACTTATCTCTAGTTTAAATATATATGCATATATATGTACACACTTGCAGTACCTGTATATCTGGTCTATACTTACAGCATATACTTACAACAGTTAGTTACCTGAGTGTCTTGGGATGCTTACACGGGTGTTAAATAAGTTAAATAGTAAAGGAAATCACAAAGTTTAGTACAGTCACTACTCAAAATGTCAATAATAAATGTAGTAAAGTAAACCAAAGTTTTAAAGTATTAGGTAAGATATAGGAGTAGAAAGCACTGTCGTCCAAGAAGCTTTGATTTGAATCTTACCATAAATTTGCTTTAGTTTAAAGATTAGCTTTCTCAATACTGTTTCATTTTTAAATAATATTTCAATTATTCTGGTAACCTACTTTGAAAAATGAACTTGGATGTGATTTAAAAGTTGAGACTGGGTGTCAGTGTTAACCAGTGCATCTACAATTTCACCAGGTTTGCATAAATGTAAATTCTATCTATACCATAAAGACTTTACATTGAATTCTGTAGGTACAATTCATTGCCAGAGTCCCTTGGGATCTTGTGAATGCTAGAAGCTGCAGGGAATGCTTTGCCTGCAGCTCAGACTGTCTTTTGTATAGACAATTACAAGAGACAAATCATTGGAAAGAAAGAAGACTGTATTGATTACATTGATCAAGAAGTTGCCTAGATGTACTCATGAAGAAATAATTGGGTGTCTGTAGGTACAGATCCTATCTGCCATACCTAGGAATTACTTGGAATCATTTGTCTGGTTCTTGTCCATGTGAATAATACAGTAACATGGTACAACCGATAGGAAACTTGGCAGTTGTAGCCAAGCTGTAATGGCTTTGCTGCATGAAGATCTTCTGATGCCATATACTGTGTACTATATACTGTGACTGCTCTGGTACAGAATTATTATTATCATACTCTTCTGTATACTGTGACTGCCTCTGCTACAGTATTGTTATTATTACTTTTCTTAGTGCAATGCTTAGTATGAATTTTGGGCTGTAGTTACCTCTGTTTTCTTTAGAAAGCTGTGGTTTTTATTGCTAAATTTTACAGATCATAAGCACACCACAAAGACTGAGCAGTTCAGGGAGTGTTCTGATTGGGAGTCCGTATAACCCAGCTCCAGCAATGGTCACTCAGACACACATAACGGAAGCGTCCGGCTGGGTCCCAGGGTAAGGTTTTTGTCTCATTTAAAGATGGCTGAGCATCTTTTCTGATCTTTTCCATTATTTATACTGTTGAATCTATGCTGACCGACAGTTTCTAGCTCTTGCACAACTAAATGGAGTATGGCATGTGCTTTTCAGTGGTGGGGATTCCCAGAGCAGCCTTGTGGCAGTTTATCAACCACGACCACCAAGCAGCACTATCCTTCTGTTTGTGCACGTCCAAGTCGAGTCACAGGATTTCCAATGAGCTTAATCTTTTGCTTCATCCATAAAAAGGCTCAAGATGCCTCCAGACAGACCAGTCAACAGTGATGCATGCAGAAGTCCATGCAATAGGCCATATTTTCATTTGAAGAACAGAGCTTAGGGAAGGGTCTGTGGTATTCCTGAACTGAGGTAGCGAGCTGTTGCTGAAGACACTTCAGAAGACTGCTTGCTTTACCCATTGTTTACTTCACAGACTCCAAATTATTTCCAAAATGAGAGGAGCACGTTCACTGGCAGGGCTGGCACAGGCTCTGGCAGCCTGGTGTGCAGAGCAGGGCACAGCTCTCACTCACTGCCAGCCCTGGTCCCTGCTGCTCAGCCCCCGTTAAGCACCACGGACAGAAATCCCTTCGGTGCTGCCGAGGGAGAGGCCTGGTTGTGCATTCTGGATCACACAACCAAAGAGTGCTGGCTTTCAAGCACAGGTTTTCAAACCCATCATTTTTGCTTAGTTCCCTTCCCAGCAGTGTCAGGTGTTCAGTGTGAGTCTGTGCTGGGAGCCCAGCTTTGGAAAGCACGGGGACACAACGTTCCCCATCTCAGCACAGCTCTGGGGCCCTGCCTTGGGTTGGCTGCTGCAGGAAAAGGCAGGGCTGGAAAGCAGCTCCTGCTTGCTGTGGGAATAACCTGGAGGATAAGGAATGGCCAATGATTGCAGCCTGCTGCTGCTTTTGAAAATTCATGGCAGCTTCTTCAAAGTCTGTCTTCGGCTCTGTATGCATCAGCTCTAACAGGAATACGTTTAGTATTTAACCTTGGGGTTTTGTTTAAAGATTCCTAAACATTCACTGGCTTGAAAATATAGGATATATCTTATGCACTGTTTAAAGACATTTTTCTTCCATATGGAAGAATTTTAAATAGGAATTTTCAAAGGAGCCCAGCTTCTCCTTTTTGATGGACTTTGGACATCTAGCTCACACCAGCACACTTCCTGCAGTTCCAGGTGAAGTGACTTCCCTCAATTCCTGTGCACAAAGCATGGTAAAATTTGGAATAGAATTTGTCTGGCAGTGAGCTCCACAAACTTCCTCCACAAGTCCTAACCACCTTCCCTCAAATTTTGTCAAGCTCTGTGTGTTGTATTTTTCCCTTTCAGTAAACATGTAACAGCAAACACTAGAACCAGCTAGGCCCCATAGACACTGATTTTAGTGGTCTATAGATATAATGTTATTTTCAACTTAAGTTTGAATTGTCTTGTCTTAGGGAGCGGAAACGGACTCAAGAAATTATAGAGTCAGATTTTTCAGAAAGGTGAGTGTTACTGAGTGTGTATTTTATGTATAGAGTCATACCTGCTTTACTTCAGATTTGTCTTTTAGAAAGATAACTGCACAGTTCCTGCTTTCAGCAGTTTTCACTCCTTCACATCAAAGCTGTTTTGGGTTTTTTTTAGTCTGCTGGTGTTCCTTTTTACTCTTTTTTGTTTCTTTTACCTGTATTCTGTTTTCTTAGATACACTCACAATTTTGAAAACCATTCTTAGTTTTTTTAATAGTTTATTTTGCTTTTTACTGCTGACCGGAGCCCTTTTTCTGTAAAATAACAGCTCTCCCTGGAACACATTGTCAAATGAAACCATGAGACTAATTAAAAAAAAAAGAAAAAAGAAACAAAAACAACACAGCTGAACTTTTTAAAGGCTTCTATTGAATTACACATCCAGATCTAGTTTGTGTGATAAAAACAACTGCTCCTGTTTTTTTCTATTACCATTATATTTTCTGGAAGAAGATGAATGGAAAATAACCCTGACAGTTTGCCAGTTCTTAATTTGGCACCTTAAAACCCAGTGACTGTGTACTTACTCTCCATAAAAGAGATTCTTGTATCTGTTCTATGATGGATACCTCATAGAATAGATGTGTATATATGTATATATACTATGATGTATATATATATGTGTGTGTGTGTGTATATATACTATGATGTATATATTTGGATATATTCTATGATGGACACACCTTAATTCCCCTAATGACCAAGTTTGGTATCTCCTGCTGTGTATTACATAGGGATGGCTGAGCCTTTCTATTTTAGGCACACACATGAGAGCTTCACATAAACACGACTTCCAGATACATAAGCACCCCGGGAGATTTTCATCATTTTTTTGGTTGTTCTTTTGTGAGACTACCTGAATATGAATTACAAATCAATTTTAAGCATCTTCCCAGCAGCATGTGCTCAAATGCTACCAATTTAGAAGTAGTCAAGGAAGGGGAAGGGGCTCTGTTGCACTTTTTTGCCAACTTGTAAGAAACAAGAAATTGATGCAAAACTTTTATTTTTCATTTAGATAGTCCAGATTTCTGTTACAAAATGCAGACCTTTTGCTGTGTAACAAAGTAGTTTATTAACAATCAATGTATTAAAATAATACTTTTCTCTTTTCAGTAAGAGAAGCAAGAAAGGAGATAAAAATGGGAAGGGTCTGAGGCATTTTTCAATGAAAGTTTGTGAAAAAGTTCAACGTAAAGGAACAACTTCATACAATGAAGTCGCTGATGAGCTCGTATCAGAATTCACAAATTCTAACAGCCACCTAGCAACTGATTCAGTAAGCATATATGTGGTGAATTTTGTTATACCAATAGAGATTTGTCTGTTTTATCATGGAATTCTGTTTCTGCACTGTCCTGCCACAGTCCATACTCTCCTTCACTTAACTAGTTCTCAAATATAAAGACTTAACCTTTGAAATCTAAAAGTGTAGAATTAAGATGAAGAACTGAACTCCCTCTAAATTATAAACGAAGTAGAGGAATCTGCCAGAATAATTAACTGTAAGAAAAGGCTACTCTTGTACATGTGGTCTTGTCAGGCTTTTCAACTGTGCCAGACTTGTCATGATGGAATTTCCTGCAGAGATGCTTCAGGAAGGCCTGAAGCTTCCATTTGCAACCAGGCATGCTCATGTGGTATCCAAGGGGTATCACAGATGAAGGATTGTGGTTTAACACCACTCTGACCAGAACTACCATTTTGGCATTTGATCTTCTCCATGTCTGTGGAGGATGTGTTCAATTGGTTTTCCTTTTTTAATTCAATTCTTTGGTTGTAATTAGTGTTGTGTTGTTTTCTTAGCAGGCTTATGATCAGAAGAATATTAGACGGAGAGTTTACGATGCCCTCAACGTCCTGATGGCAATGAACATCATTTCAAAGGAGAAGAAGGAAATCCGATGGATCGGCCTTCCCACAAACTCAGCTCAGGAATGTCAGAATCTAGAGGTAAAGGGAGGTACATGGGAAATTCTGGTTTGTTCACGTTGTGATAACTGACTTGCTCATCTTTAGAAGAGGGATTTTTTTTTTCTTAATTTGAACCTGATTGGTTTTGATGTTTGTGCACTATGGAAATACAAATTTTGTTATTGCAATGAACTGCAAAAATATGTTTGTGTGTGCTTAGTTCAGTTTCATATAGTATACATTATATTTAGCTTTTTTAAAAAGCTAAGCTGTTTACCTTACAAAAATGGTCATTGATTAAATCAGGGATTATTTTTAAGATTAAAGACCGTAGTACCTTGAATTAACCAGAAGAAAGTCAAAAGAATTTGTGGTTCAGTTATGCTCACAAAATGGTTCACATTTAAAATGAGACCAATTCTCTATTAATGTCTGTACTTGGAAAGATAATTCAAAGGGAATTAAATTGAAAAATAATTCCTGCTGGAATGTCAAATACTAGTTATGATCTACCAGAGAAAGCAAAAGAAGTTTTACTTATCAGTTATTATTTTTTCAGCCCTCTAAGAGTTACAGTGTTTTCTGCAGGGATGCCAGAATTTATATGCACAAATGTTGCCTGTCCTTCAGGCCAAATGTGCTATAAATAAAGAGCACAAATCACTGTATTTACTGCAGCCTGCTGTAATGGCTGTCTGCAAATACATCTCTGTTTGTGACACTTGAACATTAGGTATGTTAAAAGGTGGGTGGGTGCCTCTGCAGTACAGAACAGTTCTTTTTGTGCAGGATCATTTACAGCAATTGTCTTTCTAGATGTGGTAAGAGAAAAGCTTTTACTGTCCTTTTCCATTACAGTAACTTGAAAAATATATCCATCCAAGGAGAATGAATGTGTTCAATCATTATGCTCCAGGATGTTTTTTTTAATTCTGGATGAATCTACATTTTGCATGCATTCATGTGAATGCATTGTCTCCAGTATAGGTTATTGTTATAAATATGTAACTTGAATTTTATCATCTCATCTTCAATAATCATATGCAATTCACTGTTTCAGGCTCTAATGACACATGCACAAAATGGAAGCCAGGCACATTTTTCAAAAAATGTTGCTTCCTCTGACATAATAGAAAAGAATGTAAAACAAAGCTGCATTTTCATGGTGTCAAAATCAGAATTAATTTTGCTTTTAAGGCTGTATAAAGTGGCAACTGTTCTTACAATGTAAATCCATAATAAGATTACCAGCACAAAAATCAATGAAAAAAAGAGCTTGTTATATAGAAACGATGCCTGGATGATATCTGTACTGCTTACTGGTTTTAAGAGTCCCATCACAGAAAGCCAACTGAAAGATGCATGTTAAACATTAAAGTGTGTGAGGAGGGAACCACCACAAAGCAACCTCGTAAATAAGATAGAGAGGAGTTTGGGCCAGCTCAGTTTTAAAATACCATATTATTTAGTGTCAGCACTTGAATGAAAAGGTTACTTAAGAGTTTAGTATTTTGGGAGCCAGTGACATAGTGCTGGCACCAAAGAGGATGATGAGCAAAAAGCCCTTTCAGCCCCAATGACTGTTGTCCAATTCTTCAGCATTGCCCCAGAGGACACTTCCAAACACTGCTGTGCCTGCAGGGTCAGCTCTGCCCTGTCCCAGCCCTGCGTGTCCTGGGTACAGCAGCTTGGCCACACCAGCCAGCAGTAACTGAACTGCTGCAAGAGCTGTGCTCCCATAGAAAATGTTACCTCTAGCCCTTTTTGTTGCTGCAGTCTTGTCAGTTGAATCAAGTGTCAAACAAAAAGTGGAGGTCACGGGTAAGATATAGGTGATCATAAGCCCAGCCTCCATATATTTATGTCTAGTAGCTTGCAGCTAGGAGAACAGTGGGACATGCACAATTCCAAAAAAGTGGAGGGCAGAACAGACAAAAAAACCCAAAGCATCCCCTTGAGCAAGTGTTTGATTTGGTGCCAATTTGCACTCAGTGCAAGACAGAAGAGGCAGAATGAGGGGGACATAAAAGTCTCTTGTAATAATTAGATCCTTACTGGAGTTAAAATTGTTGACAAAGAAAGACATTACAGTCTGCCAGACCTTTTTAATGGAGAAACTCTTATGCCCATGCAATTTGCCCCCATTTGTAAAGAAAGCCTGTTCATTTTGGCACAAGGGAATGGACAAGGTAACTATCTTGATGCATTTACATTTATCTTTTAAGACAGAAAAACAGAAGCGGATTGAAAGGATAAAACAGAAGCGAGCCCAACTGCAAGAACTGCTACTGCAGGTATATTTTAATTTTTTTCCCCATAAATGAAAATATCAAGTGCAAATCCAACATGTTAGGCCTTCTGAAGTTCTTTCTAGATTTAACTAACAGCTGTGACGTACTAAGGAGAAATGTTTGACCCCTGTGACCTGTCTGGATTCTGGGAGGGGGAACCTCTTGCCGACACTCTGTGGTTCAGTTTTGCCTGCTGTGAACCAGCACGCTCCGTGTGTCACAAGCTTTCCTAAGTGTTCTGCTGAAGCTTTGCCCACCTCAGTGGGAATGGGAACAACTCACAAGTCCCCTTTTTTGACTCTTAGCTCCCCCAGAGCTACCCTGAGTCATTCTTCAAATTTTCTCTTTGCCCTAAGCTATGAAGTTCACAACAGAACTTGTATAAATGTGTGCAGAGTTGTTTTGGGGAATACAGACATTTCTGGATCTTAAGAGTGGAAGGCTGGCAAATCCAACACCTTTACTTTCTGTCACATACCTTTGAGATGACTTTTGGCTTTAATTGCTGAAATATATTTCAAATGCATCTTGTTTAGAAAGTAACATTTCATAAATATAGTTACAAGCATTTCATGTAATCATCATTAGTTACATAACATTCTAGTCTGTGCAGACTTTTAGTAATTTAAATGTAATCAAATGATTTTATGAGATTACAGGTAATAAGGCTATATTTTTTTGCTGGTTCAACTACACTGAAACAATTTTCATGTAACTGATATTCACTGAAACTTTCAAATATCTGACGTTTCTTTGTTGGTCATCAAAAGCTGTTTCTCTGCTTAGGGTACAACTGGGATTCTGTCTGTCTGACCCAATACATCAGCAGCTCCTCCACCAGTACCATGAAATTGCACTAGTGAAAAGAAGGCAACTCAGGCCCTCTTAACTTTTAGTCCAAATATTAACGGAGTTGATTCCCTTACTGTCCACAACTGTCATTAGTGCCCTGATTGTGCTGATTGCCAAAGGGTTTACCAGTCCTTTGGGATTGTGGCTACCCATGTTTTTCCCCTTAAATGGAATAAGCAGTGTCTGAGGTGGGTAAGTACACTGACTTCTAATCCCTCAGGTAACATTTCCTAAACCCACATATTTTCATACATGTGCAGTCAGATACAAGAAACCGGCAGGCGCAGAGTGGTGTCACAAACAGCATCTGCTTAATAACTTCCAGAGGAGAACTTCCAAAATAATTCTTTTGAGAGAGAGAAGAACATGATGGATGAGAAGGGAAAGAGAATAAAAATACAGATATGGGAAGTGGGGGAATTTTTGTTTCAGTGTAGCTGTCCCCTACCCTGAGGCAGTTACACATAAGAAGTACCAGAGAAGACCTCTGACTCCGGAGCCTTCTCAAAGGGATTGGGGAATCATTCTCCAGCATACCTTACTGCTCCTTTCTTGTTTCTTCTCCAGGGAATATGAGGGGAAACAGTCAATAGTAAATGTGTGCAAAAATTTGGTTTAACTTCTGCTCCTGGTGAACTTCACTAGTGCCAAGAGAAAGTAAGGCCACAACTCACTTTTTGACAAAAAATTACTGAATATATTGAGAGTTGGTAAATAAGACCTATGAGGTTTCATTTCCTGGAAACACTGATGTCTGCTTTTTTATTGTCAGTGATCATTTTTTCTTTCTTTTGTTTTACAGCAAATAGCATTTAAAAACTTGGTACAAAGAAATCAGCAAAATGAACAGCAAAATCAAGGCCCTCCATCTTTGACCTCCACAATACAGCTGCCTTTCTTAATAGTCAACACTAGCAAAAGAACAGTTATAGACTGCAGCATATCAAGTGATAAGTGAGTGTTTATGAAATTAATTTTTATAATTTTATTTTCTTGGACTGGAATTTTTCCTCAAACATGTGAGGGAAATTTTTCTAGTTTACTTGAAGTAATTATTATATTTACGTTTGCAACTGTCACTTCAGGGGGTTGCTTGTTGTTTTTTTCAATATTTAATGTAACTGCAGTAATAATATGGAAGAGTTTATTAACACTGCCTTACAATCTCTAGTTAAAACAGGCCGACTTTCACTGTTGTAAAAGACACTTCAGGCTGACATTTCAAAGAACATTCCTCACACAGAAGAAATAACTGAATGAAAATATTTACTAGGACAGCACTGCCTTTTAAAGCAGCCAAGTGAATTCTTACTCTTAGTATGCCATAAAAATGTACAGGCAGAAACACAAGGTTACCCATGTGACACAAAAGTAACATACTCCAGGTGATGATAACAACTTTGAAAGTGTTTTTAACAGCAAAAAGTTCTCTGAAAGAGAAGATACAGAAATTTGTAATATTGTCTTTGTGAGCAAACTGCTACAGTTGCATTCACATTTAATCTGAAAATCTTCCAGTTACGTAATTGTGGGTGCTTGTACTCTTCATCCTGTGAAAATATGGCTGAAGTTTGAGGTGCTGTTACGTTAATTGGTAATCGGCTCACAATCAGTTTATTAGCTGAAAATAGCTGGCTTTGCTCTAATACTGTAGCTTACAGATTTCACTCTGTGGTATGCAAATCCTGTACTGAACTTCAAGTCAATCACACAGCAAAAATAGACAGACTCTAGTAACCCATGCACCAGCATGCAAAACAGCAATACTATTAAAAGTTGAATTTTTGTAGAAAATTAGGCTGAAGTCCAATATATTCTGTCACAAAACTTGTGGAATACTCTCATGAGAACTGCAGTTCAGCAAGTTAGGAATTCTAGGATCATTTTTGATTTAGCATAATTATACCCTTGTTCTGTAGTCTCACTATAAAGGTCTTCCTGCTCTTTTAAACAGGACTCTCCATTTAGGTTTGAAGTTGTTAAAAAGTAGAACAATTTCATACTAAAACTTCAGCACTGCTGCTTTGAGTTGTCAGAGATTAATCTGGCATTTGGGATCCAGAGCAGTGTAACACCCTTCTGTGCTCTCCAGCTGTGTGAAAACACTCTTACTAAAGTGAGCACACCAAAATTATTGAAGTTGTTGATACTTTAATTTATATAACTCAACTGTGGTAGTATGTATGTCACCTGGAGGTCATTAAGTGTACAACCCAAATTAAGCCAGCTTTCCACTGGGGTTATTATTTGTGCAACTAATTGGTGGCAGCAGTAATAGGTAAACAGTGCCAGCAACTGTTCTGTTTTAACCACTGTTACACTGATCTGCTAAATAAGGCAGTTAGCAAAGGTGGTGACTTGGTTTGGAGAAGTCCCAGTCTGGAGTTAATTGGAGGGTATTTCTGCTGCCTGACTCCATCACTGCTCAGCTTGAGGCTTGCTCTGCACTTGATTCCAGACAGAAAGCCACTTTTTAAGGGGTGTCCATTTTCCTTTCTTCTCCAAACAACATTTATATAAAGTACTGATGTTAGTAAGTCCAATGAAGAGCTAAGCTCACAGCATTAGCTACTCAAAATTGAATTTACAGAGGAACTTCTAAAGGAAAGTAATTGCTTGAAAATGTCATACATATAAGGGTGATATAGTATCAGAAGGAAAACAGGTTTTTCTCCTGTTTTCCTATGCAAGAACAGCCAAAACAGAGTGAAATGTCTCACAAATAAATTAAAAAAAAAAAAAAAGATAAGTTATTGGGCAAGTTTTGTTTAGGGTTTGAGAAGGTAGATGGGTGCCAAGAAACATGCTGGGAATGACATTTCTGCCAAGTTGGAGTAGGAAAAGCAAAGTCTTCAGGTAAAAAGGAAGTAGTTAAGAACTAATTTTAAAGATGAGGCAGCTGAATAAGTCCCATTTAAACAGGAAAAATGTATTTAGTGTATATGGTACTTCTGTATAAATGCTGTTGGTCCTAGGAAAAAGAAAGAAAAAGTAACCAGAATACCTTGTTGTAAACAAGCATTCAGACACAATAGATGTATCAGAAACTTGGAAAATTAGAACATCTCTAAGGGGAAATGCAGAGAATTTTGTACAGCACTGGAGATACAATGCTGTATATTAGCAAGAACATGTAGGAAGTGGCCTCTTGTACCCTTACAGAAAGAATTGCCTGTAGCAGCAGAAAATCCCGATTAAAATCACTGGTGATCAAATTTGCATTTAGCATGGGAAAGGGACTGGAAGTGTACCCAAACTTTGCATACACAGTATTAATAGCCTCTGGACCTGGCTTGTAGTAGTGAGTAATAACATGGTAGCCCAGCAGGTGATTCCTGTGAGAAATAAAGTTGATTTCTCAGTAACAGCTGAAATCATGCTGGGAATTACTAGGAAAACCAGCAAGGACTACAATGTAAAGCTAGATGCATCTAGTGCTTTATATCTGGAATACTACACTCTCTCATGTTCTTGGAAAAATTATGGCATAACCAAGAGAGACACAGGAGGGCAGCAAGAAGGACTGAGGCTGTGGAAGGGCTTTGACAGACAGAACAGATGGGCTCTTTGGCCTAGAAAGGAGAGGACAGTGGATTCCCAGGTGTCTCAAAAATCATGAGTGATATGCTGAACATGTATAGAGAATAGCTGCACATAGGTGCTTATTAAATTGAGAGACATTAAGAGAAGACCCCAGGTGATGACAAAAAGAAGGGTTTTGTAACACTCTATGCAAGTAGCAATATTTTATTTTGTTCGTGCTAAAAGTTTACATAAGTTCAGAAGGGGGTCATGTCGAGTGCCTGAAAGAAAATCCTCAAAAACCTGTTAACAGCAAAATAGAAGAAGTGTAGGGATTTCTTGTATCAGTGACTGCAGGCTGCTAGAAACTAAACTGGAAAAATACTGGAGACTGTAAATTTCTCAGTTTGGAAACTTGCTGGGAAAGGACAATAAGTTACCTTTCTTTCTAATATCCAGTATTTGGCCACAACACATGGGAGAATTGCAGAGCTATCAATAAATGCAGCTTTTGGTCCCGTGCCATAAAATGGAATTCAGTTACGAGTCAGTAATTACAGCTTGCTGGTAGTAGCTCGGTATGGCACTGAGCTGTCCCAGTTTAGGCAGCAGCAATGTAATTGTACTGGTTGAAATTATAACAACACATCTTATTTTCCCTCTTAATGTGATTATGCTGAAATAAATAAAGGTACATAAACAATAGGTTTTACAAGTAATATGGTATGAGTCACAGAAGAAATGCTGTGTGTAACTGACAATTACACCCAGCACAAAGCATTAGATTACCAATTAAAAATTCTGTGTATAAACTCAAGAGCTGTAAAGCTTCCAAGTTTCCTGGTTCAGGTATAAGAAAATAAGATTAGAAAACAACCTAGCAAGAAAAATTACATGTGACAAGAGCTTGGAGAGATAATGGAAGACCCACCAGTCAGTTATCTTTTAAAGACTGTATCTCACAGATGAGTTGCTTTTCCAAGGATAAAAGTTTTGTCAGCAGGAAAGGAGGTACTGGAAACTAAGCTTTATTTTACAGACCAGAACTGTCCAGGCTTTTAATACCTGTGATGACAGTGTAAGGCCAGCCTAAATGGCCCTGCATTTCTTAAAGCTGTCTGAAGCTTATATCTCAATTTCCACTTCTATATGCGGTTAAAAACATTTTGAGGGTCCTGCAGCAGAAATGGTGAGTTGTGAACACACAAGACTCTGAACAGACTGCTTTTCTAGCTGCATCCAAAGAAGGAAAATTATACCAAAGTAAATAGGTCAGTTCACAGGAGGAGAGTTGCACATTAGAACAGAAAGTGAAATGTAAAAGCAGAAAAACAAAATAGTTATTTTAGTGACAGGACTTCAGGTGACCTTATTGGGTGAAGGTTCATGTTTAATTAAGGCCTCCCTCTTCCCCTCTGAATCTACTTAATGAGGTAGAAAATTTTAAACTTTGTTCCTGCACTGGTGAAGTTATTTTAATTGAGAATGTGCCATTTTAAACCTCTAGGCATGCCAGTTATAGAAAAGAGAAAGCATTTATTGCACTTCTCTTTCCTTAAGAACCCTTTACAGAAAACCAGGACTCCAGATGCTTACCCTTAGTACATGCCAAAACCACCAGAGAAAGAACAGGCAAGAAGAGCTCAGCTGTGCTCTTTTCAGAACCATCTCACTTTTAATTTTTTATATGCAGATTTGAATACCTCTTTAATTTCGATAATACTTTTGAGATTCATGATGACAGCGAGGTGCTGAAGAGAATGGGAATGTCCTTTGGGCTCGAAGCAGGCAAATGCTCAGCTGAGGACCTAAGAACTGCAAAATCACTGGTGCCAAAAGCTTTAGAAGGCTACATCACAGGTAAGTTAAATATTGTTCCTGATCAAATCTATAACCTTACTTAACTGAAGCAAATTTAATTATATTAACTTACATATGTAAATTTCAGGGTTTGTGGGAATTAGTAGGGTTGGTACATGAACCAGTTGTTTTACTGTTAATTTTGGAAGATTTATCTTAGCTGTCCTGTTGACTTAATGCACACTGATTTATAACAGTGTGATGTGTGAGCTGCATTATGAAGAAATTATTTCTTAGATAACTAAGTTGACACCAAGACCAAATTTTCATGTGTTAGTATTAATTTTGTGTAACTGAATGTATGGAAGTGCAAACTGGAAGAAGGCAGCTCTTCCCAAGCTGAGGAAAAGGAAAGAAAAAGAGCATCTTGAACTGGTCGGGTGTAATCCCTCAGAAGCCAGCAGGTGCCACCTGAGAACTAAGCTTCTCTAAATAAAGCAAGTCCAAAGACTTCAGGACAGGTGTCCCAGGCAGAGGCTTTTACCTCCCCTGTTTGAACAGCTCGTGCAAGACTAGAACTCCTTCAAGTCCATCACTGGACTAGAGCTGTCAAAATTTGCTATCACTTCCTATAGTTATTGTCAGTGTATTCTTCTTGCTGCACTGAAGCTTAAACTTAAACCAGCATTTTCTTAAGTTTCTGGAGGGACTTTATCTGTAAAGGAAGTGTTACCCAATTAATGGGGTAGAGAGAGAGAGACTGAAATCAGCAGAAGCTAAGGCATATTGACCTCCTAGAAAAAAAGATTCTGTGTATCTTACATTCTTCTTCTAACACACTTTTCTGTTGCTTGACTGTCATAACTGACAATGTCTAAAACATGACACTTGCCCTAGCTTAAGAGGGCATCCCAAGACCACAATCCTAATTATACATTCGTGCCCATTTCTGCATTTTGACTCAGGTGCTTTCCCATGTGCTCTCCCTGAGATAGTTCCTGGTACTAAACTGCAGGCTTTGTCTGGCAGATGAGTTTGCAACAATTAAACAAGTAGAACTATGTAGCAAAGGGCTCCAAGCAGAATAGCTCAAGTGGAAAGGTGGGAGTGAGGTTGCTGGGTGAGCAGAAATACTTCACTGCCTGGGACAAGCGTAAACTCGTAGAACAGCAGCCAGAGCAACATTTCTCTTTTTTGGGCTGTGCACATCCTACAGGCACTTAACACAAAACCAAAAGTCCCACCTTTGTTATTTGAGTTGTGACTACTAGAAATGAGGCTGCAGATTTTTAAAAATCTGCAGGAAATAATATTTCTGAGGCACTAACAGTTGGGGTAACAACATCTCACCTTATGTATCCCACTAAGGCAGTGAGCAAAGCGGTCTGGTTTAGGACTTGGCTTTTTTCCCTGCATGAAGAAGTGCTCTGCTCTTTACCTGTGTAATTAGCCATGACTAGAAAATGGGCTGGAGATGGAACTAAAGAGCTAAGAGCACCCACTGCCTGAGCGAGTTTGTTCAGATGTCAACAACACTCCCATGCAGCATTTGTACATTAACTGCTAAAGCTATTGCTGAGGGTATTGCTTTAGAGCCCTCTCAAATAACGTATATATTTCTACCAAGAAATCTGTATCTGCTACAAGACATGCCTAGACAATGCCACTACTAGATTGGACTGCACCACCATGGGAAAGTTTTCTCAAACTTCTTTCCCTGGTTTTAAGTGTAGCTATTAGTAATTGATCTACGCTGCCAGAAGAAATGTCTTTTCATTGTAGGCACACTTCTGTTTTGACATTTTTTACCATACTCTTCAACATCTTTCCATCTTTCACAAACTTCTTATCCCTTGCTCCTCAGAGACCAGTGGAAAATTGAAATATATATTATATTATTGAAATATGTATTATATTTGGAAATATAAGGCAAAGAAAATACAAGGCAGGGATATGCTTTTATAAACCACCTTTTTGCCATGCTTCTACTTTGCTCTTCAAAAAGAAAATTAATGAGCTATTATCCAGTTTATAAACCACAAGATTACTAGCAGTGTCTTGTTATTCTTCTGAAATATTAAACATGTACACACAGGTACACTCCTTCAAAATACCAGGGAACGACACTATGGTACAGCTCTATTAGTCTAAATACAATGCAGTCATTCCAAAGGGTTTAGCCTCCTGCACAGACAGGAGGAAGCTGTGAGAACATGTTCTCTGTAACATGAAACCTGCATTTAGGGCAATCTTGATGAAAGACATCGAGCTCCATCCACATTTAACTGTTCTTATCTATTCTGTCCTCACAGATCACCCTAAAACTGCCACTTATCAAGGTTTGCTGTAATGTCCCAGGACTGCTGCCAAGAACCACCCTTGCTAGCCTTGCTTTGTACCATGACATTTCATTACCTTGCTGCAATAGCTTTCCACAGCACAAACCAAAGTAGCCTGTGGATCCATCCCAGTGGATGGTGAGCCAATTTACATGGCTGTGTCAACCTGCTTCAAACAGTCCCTGTGCTAGGCAGCACTGCCAAATCTAGAGGAACCAAAGCTTGACAAGGACACAGAAAGACAAATGAGAATGTGTATGTAACAAACACAGTTATTCCTCTTACCTGCTGTTGCAGAACAATTCTAGATAATTATGAGTAGTACAGTCCCAGTTACTGCCACTGTGCTGTCTAAAACAGTGGATTGGTTAGGCAGAGAATTTAACAGTAAGGACTCTAACTTCTGATTTAATGCATCCAGCTGGAACCACATGCAAGTACCATGGAAAAGAACTAGACAGTCTTGGTAACTTTGTTTTGATGTCAACTTTGTGTCGAGATAGAATTTGGGTAGGTGAATAGAAATTCCTTATCTAAGAAACAAATTAAAAACACACACACCAAAAACAAAAAAAAATCCCACAAATGTAACTGGGTCAATAGACTCGGTTTGGCGATTCTCTTGGCAGAAATGTGCGTAACTGGCAACACCTGACAGGCATAACTTGTTAGGGAATTTGAAAACAAGTACTGTGGGGGTTGTAAGCAGCCTCTTCACATCTCTCAGGGGGCTTTTAACAAAGTACCTAAAGAAATTTGGCATTATTGCCAGACCATTTGAATGGTCTTAACCCTCCCATTTCCTATCCCTAGGGAGGAGAGGGCCTTTTGTCTCATGTGCAGTGTACAACAGGCTCTCTCTTCCATTCTTGGCACCAGCCCTTTGCCATGGTCTGTGCATGTTCACAGCCGCTGCCCAGCTCTGCCTGGGGGAGGGTGGGTGAGGAGGCTGCCCCACAGACAGCCATGAGAGCACCAGGCTGAAACTGCCTTTGGCCACTGGAACACACACAGCAACACACAGGCTGCCTGGGTGGCTTCACTGCACTATCTCAAACCCAAATAAATACCATTCCTTTTGTACCTTCATCAGCTGGGGCAGCCAAGGCACTTGGTGCTGTCTGGGCATTTCACAGGATCAGGCTGTGGCAGTAAGTTTCCATGAAGGACTCCAGAACTCATTTCAGATACCTGTGATGCATACAGCCACCAGCCAGGTGAATCTTCTTCAGAGACAGGGAAAAGTTGAGTGCAAGGCTTAAGTGTACCTACAAACACAGGATACAATTTCATCTTGATTAAACAGGACACATCTACAGTATAAAATTCAAGCTACTGGTACCTTCTAACCTAAATTAAGGGATCCTAACTGCAAAGAGAATGCAAAGTTTAAAAATGTAAGTAACTATCATAAATAGTTATGCTTTTTCCTAGATATGTCTGCAGGATTTTCATGGATAAACCAAGGGTTACTTTCAAGTTCAGCACAAGCAGTTTCCCATTTCGAGGCAGCTGGAGGCACTTATAATGCTAAATCAAGGTAAATAAAATAATTTTTTATTCAAGAATAGTTATATATGCTTGTGGTACTTCAGTAACCCTGCTATTTCATATCATTTGCATGCAGGAATGGAGATATTATCATGGCTGATTTTGATTGTGAAAAAGTCTCTGTCTTGCTTGAAGGAAAATTATATTTGAAAGGTCAAATCAACATGCTTTGAACATTGAACATGCCAACTATTTTGTATCTATGTTTCATAAGAATAGAATCACTTTCAAGCCCCTTTTCCTGATTAACCTTAAATTCCTGCCTGGGCATGGACTACAGATAGATAATTACATGCGGATAAAAGCCTGGTAATTTTTCTGAAGAATGCATAAGAATGTCTGCTCTAAATGCACTGCAATTTAAGCTTTCATGAAAGAAGTTTAGTTCACACAACTTAAGAATTTAAAATTAAAAACCAACAACCAAACAAAAAAACACCATGCGCAAAACCCCAACCTTAAATACATCTAATCAGCCAGACTTTGCTTGGAGGTTACCTGTACCATAAAAAATGGAAATAGAGATTATTATAGGGATTATTATTTTGGAGCAGGCTCCTTCTCACAGCAATTAACAGCTTCATTTTATATTGCAAAATTTCTGTGTAGTAATGAAACTGTGATGGATTTCCTTTTTTTTTTCTTCAGCTTAAGCAATTCTACTAGTTCATGGGAAAAAAAAAAGAAAGGAAGTCACCCAATATTCTTTTTTATGCAACTTCCCAATGTTTCATCAACTCTCCTAACTAATAGCTGTTTACTGTGACACTTTGGGATTTTTCCTTGTTGGTAGCATTTCTTCAACTAAAGGAAAAGCTGAGGCCAAAAAGAAAAGCCTTAAAACCTCATGAGAAACCCTCTAAACTTCACCCTTTCTGTTGTCTTGCTAGTGAGAATCCAGGGTTGTGTTTGGATGCTGAAGTGGCCTTAGCAACTGGGCAGCTGCTTGCCCCTAGCAGTCAGCAGTCCAGCAGTGCAGCGTCCCGGGGGGAGACACCCTGCTCCTTCAACGAGGAAGATGAAGAGGATGAAGATGAGGATTCTTCCTCCCCAGAATGAGGACAGTAGAAAATGGAATATACAAAATGCTGCTCAAATATTCTTAATGGGAGTTCCTGTTTGGATTTTACTGGTTGCTTGCCTTGGTTTGCACTGTGTTTGGTGAACCAAAATGGAAGCTTCAAAACAAGTTTATCCATAGATGAAATTGAAGAATTGTGTAACTGGACACAGAGTGACATGCAGAGACAGAGCAAAGTGGGTTTTATAAACTATAAATGAGGAAAAGAACAAAGTCCCTGGAGATTTGGCAAAGTAAACCTTAAGATCATCTTTTCCGTTTTGGGACTCAAGGCTTTGTCTTCCCCTTGTCTTTTTCAGATGGAGAAGAAAACAGTTCAGTCAGTAAAAGCCAATTCTTGTGTTGTCTTTTGGCTGTGCTACCTTCAGAAAAAGGGGGAGAGAGCACACACAAATGTGCTAAAATCATTATTTAAAACTATCTTGTATGAAAGTGGTTATAGGGAAAAGGGGCTGTTAAAATGTTTGCTTTTTTCTGTTCAACTTGCTGTATAGAGGATTCTTAAAGTAATATAAATTGCAAGTGATTAAATGAATCTTGAAATAGTTTATATCCATTTTAGATACTCTAAAAGTAACAAGAAACATTAGTATAAAAGGTTCATATGTTCATTTATATTGCAGGTCTAATTTATTATAAGTGATTATTCTTAGCCATTATTAAAACAGTCAGGAAAAAAACCAGTATTCTCTGCACCAGCTTTTTTCAAGGAAATTAAGTTAAAAAATTGTATTTCTAGATTACAGCGTATTTAGTGTAGCTTCTCCTTTACTGTTCTAACTTTATATAATCCCTTTGATGTTAGAGCATGTCTTGTTTTTTTTAAAAAAGGCCTCCCACCATGTTAAGGATCTCAGGCAGTGTGTTTTCGAGGCAGTCTTTTCAAATTTGGGGTGGGCAGGTCACATAACTTTTAAAGTCATTGGCTGAGGTTCTTAGGAAAAAAAAATTCAACAATACATCATTTCATGTTTTGCATTCTGGTCAGCTTGGATTCTGACAGGCTTTCTTACAGTAACTTCAGTTGCACTCACCTTGATGCACCTTTGGAAGTTGTATCAAACCATGTAAAATGATCTGTGGCTCAAGTTACCCAACACATATCCCATGTGAACTGTTAGACTTGCAGCAGGAGGCTGTGTTTTCCATAGCTAACATCTCATCCAATCATAAAGACCTTTAAAAAAACCCAAAACCTTGAATATCAATGCAAAATACACTGTAAATGTGCTCTTCCCATGGTGTTCCAATGCCCAGGACTTTGCCTAGCCTCTAAGTTAACTATTTTTCATGAGGTAAATCTTTCCAGTTTTCCCACTGTGTGTAGGGGCTTGCCCCGTGTCTCAGCTGTCTGCGGCTGTCCTGGCTGTTCCTGCACTGGGGGATGAGGCAGCTTGTGCTGCTGCTCACCTGAGCAATGGCAGCAGCTCCCCCTGATGCTGGCAGCGTCACTCTCACAGCCTGGCCTGTGTCCACATCATCTTCTACAGCCAAACCTGCACTCACTCAGGCCAGCAAGATCCAAAAGCACCGAGCCTGAGCTACAAAGAGAAAATGAGGCTCCAGCTCAAGAGCTGCCTGGCCGTGTGCAGGAGTTAGCCCAGGGCTGGCTGCTCACAGGACAGGTCAAACTGGGACACGTAGACAAGCACCACCTGTATGTTGATTACAAACTGAAGCATGCAGAGAGAAACTTCTCACAGTTAGTTCAAACTCCTGCAGGTGAGGAGTACCTGAGGGCAGCACCAGTATGTAGGTATGACTCTTGACTGAGCTATCTGTTTTACAGACATGAATAACAAATGCACAAACTAAAATGCCTGCTGTGGTATTTGCCCTTGGGGCAAGACTGTTCAGACCATTCTGTGCTGCTCATGGCTCACAGGCAACAGCAGACTGAGGGCTTTACAACCCCTCACTTCCACCGAATCTGTAACACTACCTCCATACCAGAAAAGCTTTACAGATACAAAAAAATACTCTTGCTGAGAGAGTCAGTGCATTGAGCCAAGCGGCTCACTTTTGAAAGGGGAGGAGAAGGGAAAAGGTACTTCACACATATTACTATGGAATTGTCAGCTTCATGATTGACATTTCATTTAAACAGACTATCACTTTCATTCTTAAAAAACCCATTGTTTTTTTAAAACTGCCCTATCAGTAAGCTTTCATTGGAAGGGACAGATCAAAGGTAACTTATATATGCATGAGCCTAAGGAATTCTCTAAGAGGGAAATATCTTCCAAAGTAGTTATACCTGCCACTCCCCAACAATACATTAGGGACACATTTAACTTTTACACACACTCCCCACTCAAGATTGGTGTAAAAAGAAAAAACAGCAAAACACTAAACAGTTCCTAAAGAGCAGCACTTTGAACTATAAGAACCTGGCAAAAAAAGGCTTCCAGCCCAGAAATGGAATGTATTTTATTAGCAGTCAGTGGGCTTTCTGCTTTACAGGGGGAAGATCTCCAGTGACACCTTTCCTCCATTGATGTCTGTGCCCTTCAAAGCTGCAGCCTGCATAGCTGCTTGCTTTCTGGCAAACATCAAACTATCAAATTTAAAAATAAAACATAAAAAATATGGGTGCACATAACATTTATTTGACAGGTGAACCAAGCCTTCAAAAGTTATTTTTCCTGGACCAGTTGAATACAAAGGACAAAACAAGTTAGAACATTTAGAAGAGACTTCAAAAGTAAATTCTTTCCTTGGGCTTTTTTGTGCCAAGTAGCAGTTGAGGATGAAGCTCAATTGAAGTACTGCAGTCTTGTGGCCACACTAAAGCCTGAGAACTAGGAAAATTTGGGACTTGATCCAGCCACAGTCACCTGTGTATGATCTCAGGCAAACTTTTCAATCATTCCAGGTGATCTTAGCTGCCATATTTAAAAAAGACACAAAAACCACAAAACAAAACAGGCAAATGCAGCTGCTGCAATTGTGACTAACAAGGGGGTTCAGAATATTAACAAACCACAGAGCTCTCACTGAGCTCATGGCAGTGCTTCTGCTCAGCTGCTTCAACACTCAGGCCCTCCCTCCTGCTGAGAGCCAGCAAACATTTTCCACAATAAAATGGTCACAACCAAGACTGGTTTTCCCATTTTCTACTCAGTTCCATCATCATCTCCTATCTCATGCAATACCCCTGACATTCATTGACAGAATTCAAGCAGCAACTGGTACTAGATAATACCTCATATAAGAAAAAGTTAACACATTTTCATGCAAATTTAAGTGATGTTTCTGTGTCTTGGAACACTCTCTCTTGGTTACACATTCAGGAGGCACTTGACGACAAGCAATATAATGCTGTATGTAAATGCCTTTATAGCTATAGTGCACTAAACAACTTTATTTCTGGACTAACTTTGTGGTGCTTGAAAAATATAAATTTGATTTAGAGTAACTTGTCAGCTCCACTATCTACATGAAAAACTACAAGCGGGAGACAGCATTTTTCTATTATGTGGAAATAGAACATAATGTTTGTGGATTTTGGTATTTAAAATTGTATTATAGTGCACCAGTCTTCTCATTTCCACACTGGAATTAATGGCAATTAATCCACTTAATCTCAGAAAGTGTGTGTATCTAGCAAATAAGTTCAACTGAAGGTATGACTTAAACTAACACCATAAACCCAGTAAAAGCCCTCCTGTAGGTGTTTCCATTTTGGTTAAGGGGTTTTAATTTTTAAACTTGCAAATACCCCTAAATCCTTTTGAGTAGCCAGAAATTGCTGAAGATACAGAATTCCCACAGAAGGGCTTCTGCTGATCAACTATGTCAGCCTGAAGTAACACTAGGTAAAAAGGCCTAATAACCAAATTTTAATCCTTTTGTTTTTTTAAAGAAAAATGAGGCCTTCAAGTTCATCTTCATACATGAAATGATGCTTGAATTTAGAATTCCACAGTTAAGGTTTAAAATTTCAAGTGCTCTTTCTTTGACCAAATCCACCATTTTAATTCAAGAGTATGGCTGAAACTTAACCACATTTGAACTCTGGGGAAAACTCCTTTTTGTAGTTAACTGGCCCTTTTCAGCTGAAAATAATCTAGGCAGTTGATTGTAAAGACTTTCCTTTTAGTGAGTTAAAGATGTTTGGGGTTTGGATTCATTTAAAATCAAAGCCAGTACCACAGGGTATGGTGTAGAGAAAACAAACCAAAACAAGCTATCTTCTGCCTGACCCACCTCATTTATATCTTTTCATTCCAGGAATCTCTCAGGAACATCATTATAGTAAATAACCAGATGTAATGAGCTGGGGAAAAACTATGTGTGCTTTTTTAATTTGTGATTTAAAAAATTCTAGTAATAGCCATACTTTGAGGTGACATCCTTCTGCTGCATTTGGGTCACTCTGAGGCTGAAGGTGTCTCAGGTGCCTCTTGCAGCATTAGTGATGAACAGGGGAGGGAGAAGCCAAGGACCTGTTTATGGAGGTTTGTTGTTTAAAATGTGCCACTTCTTGATTTCTAGCCTCTGACTGCAAGCAATGCACCAATGAATCATTTGTGATGTAGACATCACACACCTACCATGGCACATTAAAAGCTCTAAATACTTAATTTTCTGCTGGCAGGTGTTCACACAACCCAATCCTGACAACCTAACACTTCATGAAACTCATTCCTTAGACTTAACAAAGTTCCCAAATCAGATTATCTCTTTCCTGTTTAACTGTTAGAATTTTTTCTGGTATTTTTAAGAGGCTGTGAGTAACTCTTCTCTCCCCAATCCAGGTATATTGCCAAAAACTACCCATAACCAATGTTACTCCCATTTGTTCATTCCATCTGCAGAGGATTATTGTCCTTGCAAGTCACTGCCAAGCTGCATGTGCAAGAGCCCCCCCAGCTCCTTCAGTCTGAGTGCCTGAGGGGGCATCTATGGATCATGTACATGGATCCATGTACAGTCACTGTCCACCTTTAATACAACTACCTTGTCTGCCCACCCAGAGATCAGACAAAACCAAAATGTTTTCTTTTCTGCTTCCATATTTTTGACAGTACCAAAGAATCCAACATTTAGGATATCCATCTAAGCTGCAGGACACCAAAATTCCTTGCTCAAAATTGGTCAGAAGTAACATCTGAGATCTAACTATCCAAATCCCAAGGGAAAGCCTCATACTTAGGACCAATATGGAGTAAATACTTTTGCATTTATCTAAGAAGAAAAGCAGTCTGAATCAGGTCAGTATCTGCAACAGAGCCATGATAATTCCAAGCAGATACAGAAACCTCCCAGCAGCCCAAACTTGCATCTCTTCTTAGTCTTCTGTATTGGCTAGAAAAGTGCAATCACTTAAATCTGATGTCTCTAAATGCCATTCTTAAGTACTCAACATTCTCCAGGCATAAGTACTTTAAATATATGGACAGCATGGGATAGCAGGATACAGCAATGTCAAATTTAAACCCAGTTGTAGATGCAAATCAAACTTATCTATGCAGAAACTTTCCAAGACAAATTGAGTCTTCACTGATGAGTTGGTTTTTGCCCGTTCTCCTCTCCAGACTGAGTGAAACACTTGTCCCTCACACTGCCTGGTTCCTGTGCTGCCCGCCCACATGAGCCAGGCAGCCAGAGAGGGAAGAACATCACATATCCACAGCCCTTCCTGCTGACATTTCCAGGTCACATACAACTATTCTGAATGGCCACAAAAGTTAAAATTATCAGAAAAGGTTAAGTCCACAAAACCAGTCTCCAGGCTTTCTGATGGGTTTGTTAAATTGCTATTATATCTTCAACAATTAGTAGATTTGGTCGTACTAATGCAGGGATTAAGTGGATCTCCCAGAATTTCCCCAGGAAAATACCAGCTGAATCACAACCCATCAAACAAGTCTCTAAAACATTCCCTTGTCCTAAAGGCCATGCTGTATACATGAGAAATACATCAAAGCATATGCAAATGTTATGACACTGTATCTCACAAGCACCTACTATAAAAAAAGGAATCCTACTTAGAACAAATCTGTAAGAAGTAGGATGCGAGCCTGTCCTCATTCCTCAGGCCCTGACTGCAAACCATGCCCTGGGACCAAGGCACAAGCTTTGTGTTTGCATATCCTACTCAGCATCAGGAGAAACTGGCCAGCAAGCACAGGCAGAGTTTTGAACCAGGACTTGTTTGCTGGCACCTGGGGGATGATCTGGCAGTGGATGAGTCCTTGGCAAGGAGGACTGATGCTGAATTCTGAATGCTGGTGTGCCATCAGCCCATGTTCTGAAGGTGCTACAACATGCAGCAAGGGGTAGAAAAAGCAGGTCTGGCCCTCCTCCCCCCCTTACAGTAGCACTTTTTAATATCCACTATATTCTACATGGAAGTAGTTGTACAGACACTTCCTTTTTATATTTAAAATGCAGAAACCACTTGAAAGTCAATTAACTTTTAAACTTTTTTTTTTTTAAGAACAAGGCCAGTCATGGACAAAGCTATTTAATGACCTCCAATGCTGAACTCAAAGCAGGGTTTTGTAAACATGGTGGGTGGGAAGAGACAAATCCAATTACAAGCATGCTAATTATATGGGATTTGAAGTTTTAATCATTTTTTTAATCTACTCATCTTACTCTCCCAAGATGTGTATTGGCACAAAGGGTCACACAAACACTTTGGTGGAAATTTTTCTCCCTTGTGCTAAACTCTTGTATCTTCAGGAAAGCCCAAGTTTCCCATTCATCTTCATTTGCTGCATTTTTTGAATTCTCCACACATTTCTTTCTTTCCAAATACCTATAAATTATAAACTAAAGTTTTATTTTTGCAGAAAATCTGCTATTAAGCTGTGCTGATTTTTTGTCCTGAACAAATAGTGTTAATTTCCACTACCACATTGTACGTGGCTAGGAGTAGTGTAAAAAGAATGTGGTAGTATTTTATGTGCTTTAAACACTGACAAAGATATAAAGAAAAGTGCACATACAAAGTTTTACTTTCCTAATAGGAACACTGGCATTAGCAAATAGTATATTTGAACCAATAGGAAATATTACTTTGTAGTAAACACTTTGTAAATAAATACTTGTTATTTTTTTAATGGAAATTTTATAGAAGCTTTTTTCTGTATTCTCAATTGATCCCATGTTTACTGAAAATGCTGCAAGTGGGAATTGTACATTGTAAATGGGGGTGGTGAGCAGACAGTCTGGCTGAGGTGAAAGCTGTGTATGCTTTGGAGAAGAACAACCAGTTTTCTGTGAACTGAAATGTAAACCTTAACTGTAGAAGAACTGAATAAAAGAATTTCAAGGCAACAGGACCGAGCTTGTCTTTGAGAAGAACACTGCAGAGAAAAGGTTGCTCAAGGCTAACACTGCCAGCCGGTGCACCTCGTTAGGAAAACAAGGAACTGCCCTGCTTTACATGGGAAATACTGCATCCTTTGGTTACTGGAAACACCACAGTCTAGCAACTGCATCCTCCTTGGCTGCTCATGCAGAGCAACCTCCGATGCCATTATCCAGGGAGAGATGCTGGACTTCGGAAATGGTTACATTTTGAAAACTTACAAAATGTTTAGGGATATTGTTGTCCCTATCCATTCAAGACACACACCTAATCTATAGCTAAGAGAAGGCCCAGAAACAGGGTGTGTTCCCCCAGTTTCATGCTAGATCTATCCTGCTGAACACCCTTCAAACACCTGTAGACTCTGAACGTATATCCTCCCAAACACCATCCTCCTATTTTGGTAGCAAGAATCCAAATTAGATACAGTCCCTCTTCATCTTCTGTGTTGGTTTTCCAACTCTGCCAAATATGAAAACATCAAGTAATGTCACAGTGCTTGCTTTTTTCCACGTGCACAGAAAACCCATGACTCACTATTTTTAATCTCAAACCAGCTAAAAGTAAAGGTTAAAGACAATAGCAGAAAACTTGCAAAACTGTAAGTTCATTCTTGTGCAATAAATAGAAAATCTACCACAAACTCCTTTCATTTAAAATGCAGTGGCATATTTGGGAAAGCATTTTTGCTAACAGATTTGGCAAATAACCACCTAAAAACTCTTGCAATGTCTTTTTTATGAGCAAGAAAACACAACTGCAGAAATGAGAGGATGAGACGGTGTTGTGGTGCACCAGTCGGTACAATCTTTATACCAGCAATAAAGATATTCAGGGCTTATTTATGCTTCTTAAAAAAAAAAAAAAGTCTAAAAATCCTTACCTTCTTTTGTGTCAGTGCTCCACAAGTTGCTATCAGAATGACTCTAAAACATTAAGCTGATGGTGAACCCGGTTGGAATAAATACTCTCCTCTAAAGAATTCTTAGTTCTTTGTGCTAAGCTGGGGATCTCCTCCCCAAGAACCCAACAAAGCAACTGAGGAGATGTGAAAGCATAAAAGCCCATTTCATCTTTTCTAAGAAGTACTCAGCATGGAGCTCCAAGAAGTCTGCAAATAGTGCTCTCTGAAATTACAAATACTTTTGGTTAGAGTTTCCCTGACTGTCCAACCAGACACCATCATATAAACTAGTTTATGTTTTTCTTCACCTAAGTAAATCTGTATGCTTTCTAAAAAGAGGAATCAAGCAATGGTAACTGCTGCAGGATTAAGGTGCTCTGTGCTAATAATGGAAACAACAACAAATATTGTCCTTGGTTAAAAATAACAGTATTTAAAACTGTATCTTGTTGAATTCCACACATTCTGTTAGAAAGCAAAAATATCTGGCAACATTCAGGAAAACCAGAGAACCCCCAAATATGTGTAGGTTTATTATTCATTAAACTCTGTCTCAACCCCAAGTGTAGGATAGGAGATAAATGTGAACAATACTTCATTGTCCGAGCGCCGTGTCACGAGTGCTGCCCTGAGCCGTGTGATCCGTGTAGGTTGCTCCTGAAGAGGCTCAGCTGTGCCGCAGTGCCCGTCCTTCGCCTGCCGCGGGAGGGACCCGTCTGCTCTGGGGGTCCCACACCACGCTGAATTCCAGTTCTGGTCCTGACTGGAAATCAGTCAAAAGGCTGAAAAACCTCATGTCACTGGGACTTCTTGCTGAACCGCAGTTCAGGGGTAACAAAACAGAAGAAACTGTTCCTATATATTTCACAGAAGTTGCCAGCTGTCACAAAGGTTAAATCAAGTCCCAAATTGCTGAAGGCACTGCTGCCCACTGGTTCTTACAGCTGCCCCCGGACACCCCATTGCAGGCTCGGTTTTGTAACATTTCAGGAATCTCTCACTGGCCACTCAACTCACAGACCCATTAAAAAACTGAAAACCACTGTCCCAGGCAAAGCGGCACAGGAAGTGATAGAAAAGCCTACAACAATGAGATGACATCAAAAGGAAGAAATAAGCAAACAGAAGGCATTGTGTTCTTCCAGCATAAGGCGGCAAACAGAGCTACAAAAAGGCAAAATTGTCTAAATACCTTTCTTGCACAATACTTTAAACCACACAGCCAATACTCTCCCTTGGTTCCAATGACCTGTGCTAACTCAAGTTTTCATCATCCTGACGTTAAAATCCAGATTATGCAGCAGTGACAATATTACAGACAAATATTACATTCCATTAATCTGCTGCCATTAACTGAATATTCTTTTTCAAATATTAAATAACAAAAGTTACATCTAATGCCGTATTATGTAAAGAGCAGCAAACTGCATTTTTACAGCAGCTGCGGGCATAAGCAAGAGCGTTATTTTTAATAAATAAGTACCACGAGGACATACGTGTCTTGGCACATTTAGAAGTTAAAAAACGTTTCAAATGAGTAAACCCCAGGAAAATGTCCTAGCATTGACCTGTGTATAATTTAAATCTCCGGCTCTGCAGAGTGAAATTAAAACAGCAAGCAGAGCCCTCAGTAACAGGACCGGGCTGAGTGCACGGAGAACAGCAAGCTCCGGCAAGGCAGGCAGGGTGTGAGCGCACCGCAGGCAGCCCGCGGTGACTGCCCACACCGCTCCCTGGTAAAGGTGAGAGTTATTTTTTAAGGGGGGTAAAAAAGAAAGCCATGGAGTTTCCACAACTGCCAGCATGCTTCAAGACCACACCTTAGTTAAGCATCAGAAAAAGAGGTCTTTGCATGTTCATGTGTTTTGTTAAGAGGCAGTCCTTGTGCTTTAAATCTGCTGTTTTGGAATGACAGCTTTCAACCACAACACCCGTATTACTCTTTCCCAAGAAACTGCATCCCTGTCTTGAGGACCCGGCCTGTATTTGCCGAGTTCCCTGTGTGTTCCATTGCTGGGGACACTGCCCTCCCGGCCCGGCTCTGGGCGATGGCACAGCCTGCACCGCTTTCCGCACTCACTGCCCTGCAAAGTCGCCGCTGCTCTCTCCCCGCCACGGCCCCGCGCAGGTTCCGCACGCCCTCCGCGCTCCGGAGCGGGGCCCCGCGCCCAGCGCCTTCCCCTCCCCAGCTCCGGGGGCACGCACAGGCCGGGACTCGCCCGAGCACCCGCGGGGCCGAGCCCAAGCGGGCCGGCGGCCTTTGGCGCGGGCGGCTGCCCCTGCCCGGGCCCCGGGCTCCCTGCCCGCGGTAGCTGCGGCCCGCCCGCCGCTCCGTCCCTGAGGGGCCGGGCTCGCCCCCCGCCCTCAGCGGTAACGGCCGCGCGCGCCGGCCGGCCCGGGCAGGCCGCGAGCCGCGCTGCTCCGCGGGAACGCTGCTGCTAAACCCACCTGACTGTAAACATTCCCGATTTCTGAAGAGCCTGGAATTAGCATGTTAGCACTAAGACAACACTTCCACATTACTATGAACAAGTCATTAAGTATAATTAATACTAAATCAACCAAGTTGTGGAAAAAGCTGCTGTAACTGTTGCTAGTAAGACGTAGGTTAACACAGCTGCTGGCTCTTTGCAATCAGGATGGCCAGGCTGATGTAAGCCCCGTGAAAGCCCAGGTTTTTATTGTTATTACTTTCAGACCTTCTCACCTTTTGATATTTTCTCATCATCTCATTAGCATGACTAAAGCCAAGTTCTAGACATTCTATCTAGGCTGAAAAACTTCTACTTAAAGTTCTGCCAAGCTTCTACCTACCATTTTCTGTCATCAGGCAATGCATTAATTCTATTAAATTAAGATTGGATGTGATAGGGCTGCTCTGTCTAGAGGCCACTGCCAAATCACTGAGTCAACTGTATCAGAGCATTTATCAGACAACTATTTGTTGGCCCTCGAGCAGCAAAAGGAGGAGCAGAAGCCTTTGGACTGGCACAGACCTGCTGAGGTTTGTACATTAACTGCAGACCCTTCCAGCACATCTAACTGCACAACTGTGTGTTCCTGAGATGGTTGATATTGACCCTTCTATTTACCTGTAGGAAATGGGTGATTGGCATGATGACAAATGGGCACATATACCACCAGAGATGCAACAATTCCAGGAAATAAAGCAATCCTGGATAGTGAAGATTTTTTCAGAAATAACTGCAAACTCATTCATTTCATGGAGGAGTGCCCGTATTTCAAACCTTTGTAAAATGTATACCAAGCAGTATATTTTCTGACTAATGAACCATACAGAGCTTAAAAATACACTGGACTAAAAGATAATTTTAAAAAATAATAATAATTTTAAAATATAATTGCAGCCAAATATAGCCCACTCTGATTATTAATGGATAGAATCCCCCCAACTGGAAGTTCTCTTGTTTCTATTCAACTGGTTAAACTTGTGTTAGAAAAGTTTATATGAAAATATCAGTAGCAAAAAACCCCCAATAAAACAGGACACTGTCTTTTCCAGGGTTCAAATTCTTAAAAGATAAAATATCTGAAAGTAAAATGTAGTGAAGTACAAGGGCATGGAAGAGAGTGGGCCAACAGACATTCCTAACCAAGTGGGTCTGGTTTCACGGGCACAGGATGCACATACCACAGAACAAGCAGGCACACTGAGGAGTGACTAAGGTACTTCCAGAATTATTTTTTCCTTCTCCATCAGCATGTTTTTGTAAGTCTGTATAGAGGGTAAAATACTGCATGAATTGGATACCCAGGAATGTGCTAAAGCTCTGAGACAGTGCTATGGAAGATAGAAAATGCTTGTGCACTTAGCCCCACACTCCACTGGCCCTTACTGATCACCAGCAAGCACGGAGCCAGTGGAAGAGCTGCTACAGACTCTTGCCTTTGCAGGACGGGCAGCGTGCTGTGTGCTGTGTTTGCTCTCAAGGAGTGGCCAGCAGGGGAACACAGAATGTATTTTGTGCGGCGCAGAAGGAGTTAAGGAGCCATGTGCCCGAGTTCCCTGCAGATAAGAACAACATGAGCCCCCTGACAAGC